GGCTTGAGGGTGCATCTCCGTGGGGGACGCCTATCTATTGGTGGCACGCACTGAATTTGGCGCGGCAGGCTAGGTTACGTCTTGCTGCTTATATTGAATGCGGGCTCTTCAAGGAAATAACAATCTGAATATGAATAACGACTAGTCCGTCGAGACCTCAGGTCCAGGCGTCTTGGAAATTTTTTCAGATTCCCCTGTAGTCCGAAAGCCTGGAAATTTCCTATTTTTACGTTCGTCTGCTAGCCCTTGTCTGGCTTCCCTTCATTTTGCCTGATTTCGGGTCCTCCTCCCCCCCAGGGCCCTTGCCCTCCCCCCTTCCCCCCCCCTCCCCCGCTTCTCCCGCCCCCCCCCTCCCCGTCACCCGGCCCCTCCCTGCAAAACAGCCCTCGCCCTGCCGATGAAGAGCCGAGGCGGGCGACATAGCGTTTCATTTGGAATATAATAGCAACGATTGATCGCCCTAGTATATTCCGTGCCTGCAGCTGCAACACAAATGAAAGATATACGCTCGTTCTTCGCTTTGCCTTGGGCTCTTGAGTGTCTCGCACCTGGCCTAGGACAATATATGGTCAGGCGTCTGGCGTTCCCAGCCCCCCCCCCCCCAATGGTATGGTCTGATAGGGGTGGGGGGGTCGGGGCCCTGGCGTGCGCGGAAAGGGGTTGGGCCGTTGGATGGGTCGTTGGAGCTGCCACTGGATGGTGGGGTGGTGCTGGCGACCAGGGCTCACGTGCAAGCCCTTCGCAAGCCAGTCGTAAACCCTATAACGCAGCGCGTGCCCCTATTTTGAGCAAGCTTAACTTGTATTTAAAACGCTACACCCAATCTAAACCCCACCTCACTGCAGGCTCTAAGCCTAAAGCAGAGCATACACCACAAATCCTCCCTAAGCCCTTGTCGACTCGAAATCTTATATCTTGTAACCGTAAAGCCAATACTCAAAAGCTCAAGCTAAACCCTAAACCCCAAAATCCCACAACCACCCCATAGGGGGAAGAGGAACCCCACACCCCACACCACAGGGGGAGGGGGGGGCCCCACCCTATATCCGGACCATTGACCTTTGGGGGGGGAGGGGGGGGGCTGCGGAGCGCGTGACCATATATGAATCTTGCATTCCCGCTTGGGGGCACTCAATGCTGTGTGACAAGCTGATATAAAAAAATCTAACTTGATATAGAGAATATTCTATCTCGTCTACGTCCCGCTTCGAGATAATCCGGGAAAGATTCCTGAGAAACCCCTTTATAATAAAGATATTCATTCTCTTACTCTCTCTCTCCATCTCTCCCTCTCGCTAATAATCACAATGTAAATCTTTATATATTGACCATCCTTTATTCGAAATACCTTTCGCGTCGATATAATCGATGCATGATATATAGAGAGGATGAATGAACAATCGCTTATATTAATTTCTATAAATAAAGCTATTTTCGAAGTGCCTTTCGTATCGATATCGTATCATTTATAATAATTTGATCTTTTATTGAAAGCTTACGCTTCATAGCGCACCTTTGAATAAAAATCAAGCCTAGTAATCCAAAATCCAATAGCCCCAAACCACCAGCGCCCTTCATCCTATGGTCCTAAGCCCTGGGGCAACAAATCTTTAAGGACTGCTCTAACAGCCCAAAGAGTCCCAAATATCTATCAGGATCATTCTATAGGATTCTATAAATAAGAGCTCCTTTCAAGACTACCAGAAAGAATAGGAACTTTAATAATCAGAATAAGAATTTCGAATATATTATATTATAACTAAAAAATTCCAAAATAATATAAGTTCTTATCAATACTATTTTGAATTCTTATTATTATATAAATATATTAAGGTCCCTATATCAGATCCATAAAAGAAAGTTTCCAAGCGTCCCCGCCACTTCTACCGACTCATCCTATATTTAAAGATATTTAAAGTATCTTTCGTATCGATAGTATTTATAGACGCAATATCATTTTTAAGCAACGAGAGACGAGCAGATAATTATCCAGATATCAAGAAAAAAATAATGAGAGTTTATTTCAACTAAAATATTAAAATAATATGCGACCGGAATAATACTATCAATTTTCATGATTTCTTTCTTGCTTTCCTATAGAATTTCTTTTTATATCTATCTCCATTAAAATTAATGATCCCTGTTTCTATCATATAATAACCGAGCTTCGTATTATTATTAGTTATATCAAGAATTACGCCTCCTCCCTATATATTACGAATGTAAAATTAAAATTTAATATTCAGAAATTCGAGTGTACCTAAATTTATTTTTATTTTCAGAATACTACTTTCTAAATCAATAGACCATAGTCGATCCGAAATATTTAAAATTAATTATTCCAATTATATTTGATCATAAGTTATAGGTATAATCTATAATTGAATTCCTAAATATGATTCTTTTATTTTCAAGATTTATCGATATATATATATATATATCGATCCCCCTCTCGCTCGCCTCAGACTATATATAAATTAAGAAAATCCAGGGTTTTCTAGAACCTCCAAATAAAGTTCTATCCTATTTCCGTTGCCGCTAGGCTAGCGCCGCCAAATTTATTTAAGCGCTCGACCTAAAGTTATTGAAATTACGAGAAATTTCAAAAATAACTTTCATACTACCCTCGCCTCCTCAGTGTTTTGCCGGCCTACACTTATTTTACAAGCATCACCATACAGACATATGAGCGTCTATCGAAACTTACTACATCAAACCTAATCATAGATGATTTGGAGGAGTCCTATCGCTTTACAGTGATCTATGACGCATCGCCTTGTTCTAGTTAGATTAAAAATGGCAGCACGAGGAGTAAACATGAGTAAACCAAAAGAAGCAAGAGTCATAGCAATACTTTTGGTAGTGATCTAGTTACTGAAATCAGCAGTAACAGTGATGATTCCATCAGATGGGCAGTGGCTCATAAAACAGTCTGCTGGACAACGATTAAGGTATCGACTGCCTAGCCACATGTCACACGCAAAACTTAGTCACCAACGTGGTGGCAGCACTGAAATGTCACAACAGATGATCTTCGCTGATCGTATCGCTGTGGGGGTCCTTTCGCTTTTTGAGGGTTTTGGCCAAATCTGTCATTCACGACCACCCTACTCTTAACTACCAGTACGGAAGTTTCGACGGATGCTCATATAGATGATACTCGACTCAAACGACCGATTCATCTGCCGCCTCTTCAAGTAGAGTTCGGAGAGAACAAAATTCTGTTCCAAAATTTGAGACGTCTGCTTGTTTTCTTCCGCTCGTGTCAGGTGCTAATCGATGATGAGTGCAATGCCTCCTTGTTCAGCTCTTTGCCAACTTGATTTGGAGCACTTCATAACCTGCTCAGCCAGCAGAGTTGTTGGGCGATCAGTCAAGGTCTTCCTTTCTACGTTGCCTTGCCGACCGGAGCACGTCGGGTATTGATTGGTCCTTGGTGCTGCTTGAAACAAGAACGAATAAGAGATCCCAACACTCTACCGTGTCATCGCGGGAAGCCACTTGAGGAAGCATAGGGTCGGGACCCATTTCTCCCTGTAAGCCACCTCACAGCAGAATCTTCAGATTCAAGCGCCGAGTGCTGCTTGTACTGGTGATTGGTGATGCGAAGGACACCACGTGCTTTGCTGGGCTTGGTGCAATTAATCCGTCCTCTCCCCGTGTCAAGGTGCAAGTCCCTGACAAAGTCACCTAAAGCTTGAATCGAGGCTCGCCTACACCTATGTGGCAGTTGCACGAGCCCATACCCGCGGACGAGCAAACTCAGCTGCATGCCTTGGGATGTATGATCGGGAAATTGAACCTCGCAAACTTGACATGCAATGCTTCCTGAGCATGCATGCAGATTACGGATACAAGCGTCGCAACACCGAGGTCTGCACGCCAGGCTTTCTTGAAAGCGGAATTGGAGCTTTTTGCCGCTATCTAAAACGTCGACATCACCGACAAGCTGCACGTTGGACTCGGATGCCACGAAGAGCGCCTTAGTGCCTTTGATGAACTTATCCTTCTGATATGTGTCGATCTCGTCGGTGAAGGTGCAGGCTTCATCATAAATTTCCTCGGAGCTCTCATAGAACCTACCTTTCCATTCCCAGGCTTTTACGGCACAGGTCATGCATGACACCCTTGCAGACATGAGTCTGGACTGAAGTCTGCGGTGGCCAAGAACTGGCGAGCTACTAGATCCTCACGCACTATCTTAGCAACCTCGGAGGCATCCAGGTTCCTTCTCTTGCTATCGCCAGCACCTTAGGTTCATCGCAGAGCCGCATTTCTGCCAATGCGTCCACTCGCACGAAGATTCCCGAAGCCCTGAAAACACGCACCTGCCAGAGCAGAGACTGGAAGGCCGAACGCTCCAACGACTGCGGCCAGGCCGGAACGGCGGCCCACTGGCAGGTTCCACGCTTGCGCTCGCTCCAGCCCGACCCAACCAGCCAAGCAAGCCTGAAGGCTCAAAGGCTCAAAGCACAACCAAAGCAATCAGCCACTAAACAACATGTGACCACATGTTCTCTACTTTTACTCAAGATCTGCTTCAGGACCAGAAGCTGCAATGACTGCGACTGCGAATGGCTGGCGGCGCCGAGCAGAGCTGCGTGCCATGGCCGCAAAAGGAAATCCGACCGGGATTTGCGAAGACAGAGGTTTCAATGCCATGGGCCAAAGCGATTGCAAGAGACACTCGGTAGACTGCAGGCGGCCGTAGGGTGGAGTTTCCGCTTCCGGGTTATGGAAAGTTGCCTCACTGTCACAGGTATGGTATGCAGTCTATGATAGTCTATGATACCAGATTCCTATGCCATGGACAGGTTCTTGATGGTGATCTGCAGCCATCTGTTGTTTTGGGAGTCGGAAAAGTTCTTGAGAACAGGAGCACTTCTATGCAGCTCCGAGGCAACATGTGGCCTCCAAAGCCGTTCCAATCTGCAAGCTACACTTTCTTATGATCCTGATCTCTGTCGTCGCCGGCTGGGAATCCTCTGCATGTGCTGCCCTCAGAAAAGCTTCATGTACGCCAAGGACAGGAAGAGTAAAGGAGCCACCGCCGATTCGCGACATCCAGACTTGACCGCTTTGGCTTTGGTCTCCTGGCAGTCTCTACAGCTCTGCTCAAAACCAACAGTATGCAGAAGTATCAAAATGCAGCTGCCAAGGACCTTTCCACACTTCTGAAGCTTAAGTATGTGTGCGTGCAGATTGTAAAATATGCATCGGCTCGTTCCGACATTCAGCATTGCAAGCCAAGCTTGCAGTCCTCTGGCGCCGAGGTTGTGCTTTTGCTTTTGTCGCTGTCCTTTTTCTCGGGAGCCGCAGTCTCCTTCAACCACGCAGCCCTAACATGCGCTTTAGTGGAGCAAAAACTCAAAGTGCGAAGTGCACGACTACACTCTGCGGAGTGGCGGGCGGTTGCCTCCACATCGTCCTGCACAAAATCTAAGACGGATCATCACGAAACGAAGCCACGCACGGATTCTGCTTGCTCGGCTGAAGGCTGTTAGGCATGAGCTGATGCCTCATCTCCATCATCATCATCCTTGTCCGCATCCTCCTTCGTAACATCAAACCCTGATTTGCCAACTGGCTTGCGAAAGCAAATGCTCAACAGAATGACGGAAAACGAGTCCTTCTTCTCGTTCTGCTTATTGGACTTCACCTCGTCGGCGTCCGGCTTCGACTTTGGTGCCGGGTCCGCTTTGACTGCGGCTTTGCTTTCAACCTTCTTTTCATTTGTCTTTTCAACCTTGCTGTCGGCATCACTGTCTTTGTGTTCTTTGACAGCAGGGTCCTGCAGGCGAGAGCGTTACAAACACTGGCCCACTACTACTACTACTACTACTACTACTACTACTACTACTACTACTACTACTACTACTACTACTACTACTACTACTACCACCCTATCCCCCCCTGGTGCGACGCCGGTCGCAGAGTTCGTGGATGCACAACATGTTTCCATCAGAGCTGTCGCGGAATGCGCTAGACCATGGACGTCATTAGGTTTTGGACATGGATGCTCTCCAAACCAAAATGCGCTAGACCATGGACGTCATTAGGTTTTGGACATGGATGCTCCCCAAACCTCAATGCGCTAGACCATGGACCGTCATTAGGTTTTGGACATGGATGCTCTCCAAACCAAAACGCGCTAGACCATGGACGTCATTAGGTTTTGGACATGGATGCTCTCCAAACCAAAATGCGCTAGACCATGGACGTCATTAGGTTTTGGACATGGATGCTCTCCACTCCTCAATGCGCTAGACCATGGACGTCGTTAGGTTTTGGACATGGATGCTCTCCAAGCCTCAATGCGCTAGACCATGGACGTCATTACGTTTTGGACATGGATGCTCTCTTTTCCAGCGATTTGGATGAACATCATGATCAAAATTAGGCCACAAAAACCTTCATTCTGATCGCTAGGATTTGGGCAGGAAAATCGAAACTTCACAACACAGCTAAAAATCATGATCTTCGCAAAGACAAGTGCTGTAAATACCAGCATTTTGAGGTGCGAGATTGATGAACAATGTTAGAAAACATACTACTGCTACCATTACTGCTACTACTACTACTACTACTACTACTACTACTACTACTACTACTACTACTACTACTGCGACTACTACCACCACTACCACAACCACAACCACAACCACAACCACTACCACAACCACTACCACTAGTACCACTACCACTAGTACCACTACCACTAGTACCAGTACCAGTACCACTAGTACCAGTACCAGTACCAGTACCAGTACCAGTACTACTACTACTACTACTACTACTACTACTACTACTACTACTACTACTACTACTCCTACTCCTACTGCTACTGCGACAACTACTCGTGCTGCTGCTGCCGCTGCCCGCCACTACCACTATCACTTGCCACACCCCACATCTTCCCGCCACTCACGCGAGCACCAACACCCGGACAAGCAGCAGCAGCAGCGGCAGCAGCAGGACCACATAGCACCACCACCACCCAGCAACACTACTGCTGCTGCTACGGCTACTGCACACTAAGATGCCGGGCGACCTGCGGGCGACGACGACCCAGTCAGACTAGGACCGCGACTACAACGGCCCTGCTGCGACGAGCAGAATGTGCGATATTATTGGCTTGTCGTTGGTCTCACTACTTTTGCTTGTCCTTCGTGATGCGGGCTGCCAGCTCGTTGTCAACCTTTTCCTTTCAGGGCAGAAATCACTGCGAGTCACAATGTAAAAGCTGCTTCTGATAAATTATCAGGTGCTTTGCCGGCCTCTGCTTCCTTGACAAGTGTTTCAGCCATTCGCTCTTCCGCCATCAAGCTCTCATCGGACAGGCTCTCATCGGACAGCACGGCCTGAGCTTGCGCAGCTTCACCAGCAATTCTGACAGAATCCCTTTCCTATGCTCACACTTCCACGCGACAAAGCCTTGACGGTATCCGCCTCCGGTGTGTTGGCCACTTGCACGCGCTTGTGACCATGCCTCTTACTCTTGGGGATCCGTGTACTGAGAGAATCCCTAGGGCCTAGCTGCTTCAAGGAAGCTGAAGCTGAGTGAACTGGCAACAGCGCAGACAAGAACAGGGTGGGGTAGGGCGAGGCGGATTAGGCGGGTTGTGGGGTGGGAAACTACAATACGGGCACACGCGCTGAAGAGCACGTTCTTCAATGCCAGCTGCGCATGGCATATACTTGCAGATGATACTTCCTGATACAGTACTATGAACATGAATCTATTTTCTTCGCTGTCACTGACAGCATGAGAGTAAGGAGCTAGAGTTCGAGCACCTTTCAATTTGCATGCCCCGATTGCCATGTTTTTGGCCAGTGCTCGTGAATCCTGTTCCTCATGTTCATTTAGCCAACAGCACTAACCAACAACGGTAGATCCCTGGCCAACGGATTTTGTGACTGTGTCATCAGTAGTACACTACATGTATCGCACGCTCAGGCTGCTTGAATGTAAGACTCTGTTTGAGCATGACCGCACGTGCATGCGGTGCTCATGACCGCACGAGGCTAGGTACCGGATGTCCCACCTTCGGTGGTGCTTTCGAAGGCCATCGGTTCCAGCCACGAGAAGCACGAGGAGCAGTCGGAAAAGTAGAGGCCTCGCGTCAGTGAGCCCATGACGCAGAGTTGGATGCACGGTCATGGACTTCTTCGCGAATAGGGAAGTAAGGAAAGCCAAGCGTCGCCATGGCTCCAGCCGGCGCACTGCGTTGACCCGGTGTTTGGCTCTCTACAGAGCTCGCTAGTCCGTCACGGCGACAAAGGCAGCAAGCAGGCGCGTCTCGTGCCAGCCCTGGGACATAGTCGAGCCTAAAGACCCCTTCTCGGCGAGGATGTATACCATCATGTGCTATGCACGGAAGCAAATCCAGGTTTTTGCTTGTCGTCAACGAAATTTGGCCAGACTCTGTAGTGGAACAGTGCGGCGTGGGTAGTATGGTTGAAGCGAAGCCACGCAGGACACATAGTCCAGAAGGAACAAGATCCTGTCATGCCGCCACACCCTGGTCGTATGATTGATCGGAGATTGCTATGACATGAAGTACAGTACAAGCACAAACTCGTTTCTACTCTTCGGCAAACTGAAGCACTCAAGCCTGAATGTTTTGCATCATTTGCCGCATCCTTCGGAGACTGTTCCAGAACATACTGACTGCTGCCTTCTTTGAAGCAGCGAAGTAACCGTGCTCAAACGACCTAAACCTGAATGTTTATTGATTCAGCAATGTGGGGAAGCATCCCTCTTACAAGTAGGACTCAGAAGCAAGGGAAGCTCATTGCAGTGCCGCGTGTGCATGTCTCTCGGTGTTAGCTGCGACACAGTTGTAGATTGTAGATGGCGATGTGAAACAGATGTGACACGAAGCGGTCACGGCTCCAGGGACATATGAAGCACCTGCAAGCGAACACGACAGCGCAACAACTTCCAAGCTTGTAAGTACACCCTCAAGTCGCGCAACGACACCTTGCCTCTGCCTCGCGGCAGGCTGCAATTATTCCAACAGCACTGTTGAAGCGACCATTCACCTGCAAAACAGTACATGTTCGATATGTTTGCCGGCAAGCTTTCTGTAGCGTCGCCATGTTCACGGCAGTGGGCTTACCTTGAAATCATGGATTCGGGACTTGTCACTGGCCAATCCCAAGCAGCTTGCCGGCTACACAGCATGGCCTCTACGACTCGCATGCCTGGCTTCACGACCTCTCTGGATCCAGGCGGTTGGGCCTGATTCCACCTGACAAGTCGATAGATATACTATGGTCCTTTAAGACTTTCTCTGCAAGTTGACAGCTGCAAGCTGGTCTGGCCTGTCTACCAAGCCTCCTGGAGTCACGCTTTTGATTTCAAGCGTGCCAACCTGAAATGAAGTTGTGCGCAGTGACTGCCATGCTTGTCCAGCCTGTGATCGGACCTTCTCGGGAGCGGCATCGATGCCCAAGCTATCACCCGTCCTGTTCAATGTTCTGCTTTCTGCAACTACAGACTCGATTCAAGCAGTTACTGCCTTTCGCAGGCTGTTCTGGATTCGCCCCGGCCTCCTGTCGATAACGATTGTGAACTCGGTGGGAGACCTGCCACGGTTTTTTTTCAGCTCTTGACCAAAGGTGACATCGGCAACCAGCGAGTGCCTTTTTCGGGTCTGTCTGCCAGGCCTGCACAGGTATCGAGCCCGCACAAATGTCAAAAGCGGTGTAAAGATGGCACAGAGCCAGCGTGGCCAAACGGCCTTCTGGAGTCGTCAGACCCTTGCCTTGAGGGAGAAAGCTGGCAAATGCATCGATCACGTATCATCCAGCACAAACGTGGATGACCGTAGCACCGAGTGAACAACAGATCTTGTGCGCGGGGCCGGGTCGAGGATGGCCGGGGCAAACGTGGGGCGCTGTAAATCTTGGAGTGTGTCTAAGCTTGGGGCAAATCGTCTTCGCAAGAACAGCAGGATCCTGTGGCCCCCATTGCCAACAGGTCCTCCAGTGGCAGATGGTGGAATCTGTTTCCTGTGCCTCCCGAAAACCACCGCTGTAAGGGTGGGTCCTCAGTCCCAGATACCCAGACGGACAAGTCTCGAGCCCAAGCAGCGACCACAAAGCAAGCAGTTGAATTTGGAGCTTTCAGCATGGTACTGCTGATGCGAGTCATGCGGCCTCTTCACGTCTTTTTTGGACACTGCCATTCTTCGTTAACGCAGGGGCACGCCCAGGAGACAGAGCATGATGTGCAGAACGAGGCAGAAGCCAGTGCACATCTGTAAAAGTAAGGTCAGGGTTATCAGGCTTGGATCATGATCACAGCACAGGCTACATGCCTTCGCTGCACATCACAAGAAGTGTGTGAGCCTGCTGCTCTTCTCCTGTGCTCCTGAGTGGAAGACCAAGGTAGGTCCATGATGGAAGCTAGGCACTTCTGGAGCATGTCCTGCTGAGAAGAGTAGTGGAGCCAGAACCTCGTGTGGGTATGTCGTGTTCGTGTTGAAGTTTGCGCACAGAGAGAAACATCAACACAAAAGGACAGAGGCTGTGACAGAGAGAAGCGGTGAAACCTGCACAAGACGTGACATATCAAAGGTACAGATGTCAGATATCGACAGCATTCGTTCCCGAAGCCTGACCTGGAACTCAAAGGCGGGTTCTTCGCCCTGGACACACTGAGGAACTCGAGCACGCGCAAAGTACCTTAGACATGAAGACTATGAAGACACAGGCGCAGCAAATCGCAGCTGCTTCTGAGGCCGGTCTTTAGTCACAGCCGAGTATACTGCATCTTTCAGCCGACGCCGCTGTGACTTGTACTGACGTTCTGCAACGGAAAAGCCAGCCAGGCCGTCAACTGCTGCTTTTGGGATGCTTTTGGGCCCAGGATGGCCTTGGCACAGAGGAGCAGCCATTGCTTTGCTGAAAAGTGGCTCCTCTCGGGCAGTCAGCCAGTTCTTGTGGCAGTCCGCCATGGCCTCAGTATTGCTTTGTCGCTTTGTCGGTCAGGCTTGGCTGCCGGATGTGACCACACTCGGTTACCCGGTTCTGCATGCGGATCAGGCTGAACACTGCGAAAATCCGCGACAAGCTAGCTACAGTAGTTGCTATCGGCTGTCAATGGCTGTCACGGGTTCGAAAATCGTACCAAGCTAGGTGAATGGATCATGCTAACAGGAGCTCACCATGAATGATCGTGAAAGAGGAGGCGAATGCCGTGCTGGGCAGTGCAAAGCGAGGCGACCTTTGATTTGCAAGTTACAAGCAACCAGCAACCGTCACGCCTTCCGAGCGTTGCGACAGCCCCCATGCCATCGGTGGAGCAGCCATATCATCGGGCGATAATAACAAGCGTTTGCTGCATGAACTTGTACTAGGAATCATTGTAATCCTGTACTGTAGGCGTTATGGTCCATCTTTGTGCCTGTGCCGGTATCGAGGCTCCGGCTCCGTTGTGGTCCTCCATGAGCTTTCTGCATTCAGAATCATGCATGGCCTGCCGCACCAATGTCACCGGGATGCGCTGAGACCTGCGAGCATCCCATCTGCAGGCCCCACCTTCAGCAGCCAGAAGGATGTCTCATACCTGAAACAGCGCCAGGGTCGGCGCTTCGGAAGCATAGGCAGGTGAGAGTAGTGAAATCCAAGCTTCTTCGGCTGCTGCTCGAGAAAGGCTTTCCACGCCTTCAAGGCACAAACGATTCTGTACATGCACGCATCGCTGCTTCGCCAGTGCTCCATCTCTAAAACCAATTCCGACTTTGCAGCTGAAACTATGATGTGCATGAATGTGACCGTGCGGAATGCTACTGATATCCGAGTCTGTGCGAACTAGTTGGCAGGCAGCAGGCTGTCATGTCAAGCCGATGCTTGCTCTTCCTCTCTACTGTATCTCATCGGCAGGATGCTCGGCTTAGTTCCTCACCGCCTACCGACTTCCCTGGACATGTCAATCTCTCTTTGGGCCTCACCGTTATCAGACGTGACATCGAAGCTCCATGTCCCTCCCACGTCTTCTGAATAGCAGCAGCTGCTGTTCAACATCAAAAGCATACTCCAGCCCAGGCACAGAGTTCACCTCTGAGATTGCCTGGCAGCTGCTCGGAGATGTCTGACACTGCTGCTAGTGAGGCAAAGTGCGCTGTTCCTTATCGTAGTGCTCTTTGGCCCCTTCGAACTCACCGAACGCAGTAGCCATCTCCTCGAGAACTCTCAGAAGCTCGTGGCTGTTCCCCCCTTGGGCTCCCCGTTGGCGCCTTGTCCGCGTTCTCTCTTTCTGCCTGCTGTCGCTCACGCTCGAGCTCCTGACCCGACAGAAGCGGAGATCTCACACCAACTCTCCCTGCAGCGCTCCTTGGCTATCTGCTCTGTGCCCTTCTTCTCCTGCAGAAGCCAATAAGCGAGTAGGAGCTTCTACAGCGATCGTCGAATGACATTCAAGGACACGTGCCGGGTGAAATCGGCTACTGAATGCATCGTGTTGGTAAAAAACTGACGAACAATAAGAATGCCTTGCTACCGAACAGGTTCAGGGGAGAAGCCTGAGCATCTGCAAAGCACAAGGGACAAGTTCTTTGTAGTTGGTGCGGAACCGGGCTGAGACAGGAGCTGCAACATCTGCCTTCTTCTTTGGCTTGTCCTCGGATGGTATCACAACACATCCATGATGCTTGCAGGTGGCTTGCAAGTCGCTGGTCTAGGTTGTGCTGACCACTACCAACCAGGCTTCGGGCTGTGCAATCGCATGAATGGCCTCTGCATCTGGCATTCCGAGGAATGTTCGCGCCACCAGCTCGCACGACTTGAGCAAAGCTATCACCGCACATATGCAAACCGGAAAGCTTAGAGCACTGCCATCGGCTGTGCGACCCTTCCTCTTCAGCTTCACAGCCTCAAAGTCAGAGGAGAATCGAGCGAGCAAGTGGAGAAATGCTCTGCAAACAACGCAATTCCGAGGTGCTGTGAATGAAGATTCGCACAAGCTCTGCGGATCCTTTCTGCAGGCATACGGCTCTCGTTGCACAGTCGGTGCATCCTGCCTGCAGAGTGCGTCTGCGCGGAAAAGTGGCATTTTCCCACCTTTGAGAAGACTGAGTCATTGTCGTTAATGCAGAAATACTAGTGCACAAGCAAGATCATGCCTCGCTGGATGCATTAAGCTGGGATCTGAGTGAGAGACAAAGGCAACGGCCAGTCTGGAGATCCATGCAAGACGGCTGAAGGCATTCGCTTCCGGCTGTGTAGGTCAATGCAAGCTGCTTGCATTCTTCCCTGGAGCATGTGCATTCTTGTTTTCTGCTGCTGGCTCCACGACCCACGTCTTCGAGTCGCTCAAGCTAAACTACTGGAGTGTTAACTTGCAGATGTCATGGAATGTGATGCGGCGTTTGAGCCATCGCTCTGGCATCCGCGCACTGTCAGACAGGATCCAGTGGCTCCAACAGGTCCCACTGTCCTACCTATTTTCCTTCGTGGCGAATGATGGGCCGCTGCTTGGAATGGTCATGAACTCAGAAGGAGAAATTCAAGCTTTTTCTGTGGGAATGTCGGCATACACGCAACCGAATACGCCAGCCTGAACAAACCAGCAAGCCAGCCTTTGCATACTCTGTCAGTATGGGGCCTAAATGTTCAACCAGTGCTCTGCACATGGCTTTTACACCTCAGTCTACCTTGAGCCTACCGAGGTGGTCCAGAAATCAGCACTTCTCACTTGCGCGGCACTGAATGTCTACAAATGGGAATGATGCTGCACTGTACATGTTGGAAATTTACAGTTACATTGCACTACGACCATCTGTCTGTCTGCCAAACCCATCAGGAGCCAGCAGAACTGCAGCACTTTTGCTCGGCACCCACATTGCTGGACGCGTCCTGGGCCTCATAGGTCACAAAAGATGGAGCCAGTCTTCCGGTCTCATCAGGAGCCAGCTTTATTACTGCACCTTTGTTGCCAGCGTGACCTAGGTAATTCGGAGCGGAAAATACGGTGATGCAGTCAGGATGTGTCCACTCGAAACCACCCACCTTGACTTCGTGCGACCGGATCATGAGACGAAGGCCATTTCTTCTTAGGAATGCAGTAGTTATGTTGGGGCCGAATATGTAGCAGCCCTTTCGGACTCTGTAGGACGGACCGTAACCCGTCTTTCCTCGCGGATCCGCCCAAAGCAAATCGACAATCACGCGCTGCACCTCGGCCTCATCTTCCGGTAGCTCGGCCAGTTTTGCCAAATCCGTGGCGGGATCTCCACCACGCGGCAAGCTCGCGATGTCTTCCAGCGTCAGTTCGGTGTTCCGTGGCGGCAAAGAGACATTGTCGGGATTGTAGCCAAGCAGAGACAGGTGCTGGCCACCACCGCGTCGACCACTATCGCCAACCGCATCGTAACCCGTACCACCCCCGCCCGCATCGTTGAAGGGCAGCCGAGGATCTGGACCAGGCAAGCCCCCATGGACAACGAAAACCTCAGAATTCAATACGTGCGCCAGCGGCATCCATCGGAACATCTCGGAGAAAGCATCAAAGAGCCTGCGATCATGAGCCTAGCTTCGAGGCTTCGAGGCTTAGAGTCTAGGTCCAGGACATGTAAGCATGCGGGCACCTGCCTGCGGCCATCGAAGCCGTAATGAGCACGAATCTCTTTTGCAAAGCCATAACGAAGGTTCAAGTCGGCAGCTTCGTGGTTGCCACGATTCATATAGACGAAGCTTGGATACCGCATCTTAAGCAGCAGCAAGGTGAACACAACCTCCAAGGAATGAGCTCCTCTGTCTACGAAGTCTCCGTTGAAGAGGTATGGGTTCTTTTTCGATGGCAGACCTAATTCCTCAAAGATACGCAGGAGATCGTAGAACTGGCCGTGAAGGTCACCCACAACAACCACACTGCTCACCTCGACTCTCTGCAATGTATGCTCTGCCCGGAAAAGCTTGCCTGCATCAGTCACCAGATGAAGAGCATCATCTACGGAAAGCAATGGTTGTCCAGCGTGCTCTGCAAAAGCATCCAGTGCGGTTTTGAGAAAAACATCATCTACAGTGTGATTGTAACGAAGCGGGTACTCGCGGACGGCTTGCGCCCGCGGAATCTCGGGAGCAGGGGTCATGGCGACGGGAGCTTGCTCCGTGGGCTGCAGCTGGATCTGAACGAACCTCTCCATGTTGACAAGCAGCATACCGCATGCGTGCACAGATGGAGTAAAGAGCATGCTCAAGGCAGCCGAGTGGCTCTATCCGTACGGGCAGATCTGCAGGAGGATTTTGCATAGCACCTGTGCCAAGGCTTGGAGAGCAGAAATGCTTCCAAGAATGGCTGCTTGGCTGCCTTTGGAGGACGACTGGAACTTGCCGCTGGAATTGTCCAAGATCTTGTCACCCAGTAAATCCAGGATGTCGGGAAACTCCCAGGTGGACACATCCTGGTCATTGATTGCCTTGACCTCAGTGCACTCTGGCCAACAAAAACGACTTGGGATCTAGTCAGAAGCTGAGAGAGTCTTTGCCACGGGGTCTGCTAGCAGTTTTCTTCATGATTGAACTCGGAAACTGGTTGACGCTTCTCGTTCACATAGTCTGCACAGCCTATCTGCTGATTTCAAGGTGCCACAAATTCTTCTTGCACACCCGCCATTCGGGCTCTGCCTTGTGGATCTCCAGGATACCGCTCCTCATGATCAGCTTTCAAAACAGAGCGAGTGTGATGGCATGCGAAGTCCTCGCCCAGCTCCCAAACCATAGCACCATTGCCGTTCCTCAGTGTTTTTGCGAAATAGGCGGCATGGCACCGCAGTCCTAGTCCGTCCGCTCGAAGTCCGCAGTATTTCAAGCAAGGCTCGAGCTTGGAGCATAGGCAAGAACGCCGAACGGACGTGAGCAAAACTCAACCGTGTGTCTCGACTTGATGGACTTTGGGTTGCTTGCATCGAAGACCGGCGCATTCAGAATCTTCCTGCCCTCGCTGTCGCGCAGGCTTGCTCTCAAGGTGATGTAGAGTGCTCCCCGGCTTCTGCGGAACCCGTGCACGGCAGCTGCGATGGCTGCTGGTCTCCAGTTGACTGATGTGGTCCTCGAAAGCCGGAGACATCCAAAGCTGTCGTTCCACTTAACGTCGCCGCAGTCCTGGCCGTTGAAGGTGGGACCGTCTTGGCCAGCCTGCGGTGTGTCAGACGTTAGATGGTGGGACATGGCGGTTCTGCCCGAACCTTCGCGAAGCCGGGAGAGGGCCTCGGCTCAGCTGCCAGGAGGAGAACCGTGGCTTTGAAGCAAGTACCAGGCCTCTTCCGATAGGCCCTACCTGCCGTTTGTGCGCAAGGTTTGATATGTGGGGTTGCAAACACTGCTATCAGCCGGAAAGAGCATGCCATGCCTGCCACTCAGGCCGTGAATGCAGAGTCAGCGGTCCTCTCGCGCATGGCGGGTTCATCGCTGTTGCGCAGTTCTGGCAGTCTCGAGCCGTGAGCTCGGAGTTGTGTTGCAGACATTTACCATTCATGCTCTCAGAAGCTGCGAAGTGTCGCGGCCAATTCGACCATTTCGACCAATGCATCATGCTGCAACTGCCCGCACGGTGCTGCGTGACAGTCGTACTTTTTCCTGCCGGGATCGATCGATCGATGGCTGCAATGGAGAGCTCAGAGAACTCAGACTCATGTTTGAGTGAGCAGCTACAGCAAGACGTGTCTGCAGTAAGAGGATTACATGCGACAGCTACGACAGTCCAGGACTGTCGTCATGTCCGGATAATAGGCCCTGATCAGGCAATCTCCTCCTCCTCCTCCTCCTCCTCCACCTTCGCGCCATTCGCCGCGTGGATCTCCCCCCTCTCGTCTCCAACTCGCCCAGGCCCAGGTCTTGAAGCAATCTCCTCTCTGCGTGCTCTACTGTGCCCAAAGGGAGCTCTGTCTCAACTGTCATCACGAAGTCCATGCGCCTTGGAAGGACTCCTGGCTCGGTTTTCGCAACTGCCGGAGTTCAGGATGTATCGGGTCAAAGATGGATCACGATCACGCACATGTACTGCACTGACCGGCCTTGTAGCACTGTCAGCCTGGAAGGAACTGAAGGCCAGCTGTTCCCATAGGTCGCACTTGCCAGAGCTCCGGGATGCCGCGTGTCAGGCTGAGCCCCGCAAGCAGTATTGTGTCCGGCTCTTCACTTGCATTCGAGCGCCCACACAATCCAGTGGCCCAGCTGCGACCTCAGACAAGGGATGCGATGCCGGCGCCGCTGTTTCAAGCATAGTGAACGCTTGTGTCAACGCTTTTAAGTTGAGGTTCGGACCTTGTGGCAGCTGATGGATGTCTTTGGCTCCAGACCTAGCTTGTCGGACCTTCAAGCGAGAGATTGTGATGTTTTGCCGTCGGATCTTTCCGGTGAGAAGCAGGATCTTGTTTTGAGGCCTTCTCTTTTGATCACCCCTCTTCTCCTGCCGGTCTTTCCTTCGTTAACAAAGCCTGGTTGGCCGAGGCATTGGACAGGGAACTGGGCACCTCTTATCCTCAACATCACACACTACCATCGAGTACCACAAACTCCAAACTTCAGGATTCCAAATCGACTGTAATTGGCTATGACTGTAAAGCCTGTGGGCATGTACGTTTACTTGGCACGGCGGCCCCAATTCACATGGTTTGCCTCTAGACCTGACTGAGCAGGATCTCCGACTTGGGCTATCTCGAGTATGCGCACATAGCGGACAACTCCTGTCAACCTGGGAATCAGGATGTCTGTGGATTAAAGTGGTACATGACTATTACGTCGTTTGTGTCTCAGCATGGATTTCGCATCTCGGATCAATGATCAACCTTGCATCTGGCGTGTGGGCCGGAACAGGGTTACTCACGAGGGGACCGCTGTTGACACGCAGCCACGCACAGCTCACACGAAACCTAGCTCCGAGTTTTGCTGAGCTCCTCATTTTGGCCTCTAGATTAAGTAGCTGTGGTTGCTCAAAGGTATCTCGACATGTTCAGCCTGACTGGCCCATAGGCAGCCTCCCAGAGTGTATGATGGGTCAGATGCTTGTGGCAGAGTGAAGTTGGCAGGGTACATCAAGTTGGAGCAAGCTACGAGCCAGCTAGATCCATCGTCAACACTCTTGGCGAGAACCCACAGGCTCGTAGAAGTCAGATGCATTCCGATGGTTTCCACCATTCTGCCATGCACTTCCATTTTCGAGATCCGGCGCCTGCGTGCACAAGTTCGACATTGCACGGCAGTGCACTCGGACGCACTCGAACTAAAGGTCTCACCGAGCCGCCTTGGGTGCAATGTGCCTTCTTTCGGGCACAGAACCAGAGTTTCACCGGCCCAGCTCGAGGCCAAGACGCCCCATGGCTGCTCTCCGTAACCAGCGCACTCACGATCTGCCACACTCTCTGCAATCACAGCGATGGCGCGCACAGGCTCAGGTAGGCGCAAAGAAATGTTCCAAATCTTATTGTAGTTCCTGTGCAGCTCCCATATAACACGGCCGTCATGCTGAAGCACCAGTAGCTCAGTAGGCCCCGACTTCAAAGCCGCCATGCTTGCAAACGGCGCCCATGGCATATGGCCGTGCCCACTCTTCCCGCTCTGCTCAGGTTCAGGTCCGATTTCGAGCTGTGCCGCCTCGAATCTTCCAGGCTCCCCGCCCGTGGCTGCCATTTGTGATGCATACATTCCAAATCTGTCACCTGCAGGCATCACATCTGTCGAGCATGCAAGCTGTCAACTTTTTGCTTGCCTTCAAGAGCAAGTAGACAAAACAAATTCTGCAGCTCCGAAGATGCCGAGCCTAGGAACAACTGGTCGCCAGCGCAGGACATCGCCGCCGGCCTTAGGTCAAAGTCTGCAATGCCCGAGTCAGGCTTACACACTGTTCTGCGCATCACGGATCAAACGAAAGCCTAGAGAGCTGTGGGAGGGAATCAACTAAGTCATCCTGTGTCCCAAAAACCTCTCCTCCTTCGCATTCATGTTTCATGACGGTGCAAGGACATGGTCCTGACAGACGCTGGACAAGACGAAAAGACGCAACTACCATTCCAGAGTTCCGAGGTTCAATGCTCAATGCATCCGGATGTGTCCATGCTCCGAAACACTTCAGCATGGCTCTGCAAACGGCTCAGTGGGCGATTCACAAGCTAAAACACCCTGGAACTTTCGCGAATTGCAACGATTAGGGGGCTGACTCGAAGAAGTCGTGCGGCCACGATGTCACCTGCATCAATCGGGTCTTCGTCCCGGTGTCCGGATGAACCAGGCAATACCTGGGCTGCTAGATTAGCGAAGAATGCCCAAGCAGCGCTGAGAAACAGTTGCAGCTTCTCACAGTCCGGACGCTGCTGCTGCTGCTAACGCATGCAAGTCGCACCGTGGTAACGAGCCAAGCCATGATAAGACTCAGCGTTATTTGCATGAAATACTTCCATGGCATGCTCGACTGTTCATGGCCTTGGCTGTGCGGTCTCAAATCAATTGTCGAGCCCCCCTGCATATTCCTAGGATAGGCGCACGTAATTGTAGGATTCGTCCTCCAAGTATCTCCTAGTTGACTGGGAACAGCAGAACACGTACTTCAAGCCTGCCTGGAAGGGCCTGGGGAGGGGGAAGGCACCCGTATAAAAAACTTCGATACGTCACCTGCCCAGATCTGCAAAGATGAATGAGATTCATCCATCGTTTGAAGGGGAAGGGGGACGGGCGTGGGTAGTTAAGCCAGAACTCCCGCTGAGTCCTCACATACAAGATGTCTGCCTTTTTGGTGTTCAGCGCCCAACAAAGTAAGACATGAAGTCCAGCCAAGTTTAGACAAGTCGCTGGAGCCTGGCCTCCGCATTGTGGGCAAGAATGGCCGCTGCGCTGCAGACATCGTGTCGACCAGGCTCGACCTGCCATCGTCTGAGGGTGGCACCTTCAGGGAAGGGTCCAAATTCTTCCGAAGCTCGCTTGCTGTGGCAGTCGCTGCACCCCTAGCGGCCCTAGCGCTCAGTACAAAGGATATGTCAATGGCCTGCCGCTCAGCACCCTCGACTTCGAAGCGCTGCATGCCTCGCGCGCTTTGCCTGCTTTGCCTGTTTCGCTCACGTCGGCTGCCCGTGAGTCGCTCCACTTCTCTCAGCAAGGTTGCGATGTCGAGGTGTGGGGCACCCGGAGCCCAGGCCGTTTCGAACCTTGGATACTCGGAAGCAGCAAGCCGCTTGTCCAAAGTTGAGGATCCTGCACGTCGGTCAAGTTGCGTGTCAAGGTTGATGTAGAACACCAACGGCCGTCGGGTGCCCGTGGTGATTTCGCGCTGGAACCTCATGTGTGTGCATGTCTCTGCTCTCGTGTCTCGCAGAGCCTCGTTAACGACTGAGCCCTCTACCAAATCTCCAGGTCTGGCTCCTCTGCGGAGAGACCCGGGCCCAGCGCAAGCAAGCGCTCTCTGCAACGTTGCAGAGTTTGCACCTGTCTGCCATACTGCAAGCTGCTATACACGTGTGGTACAGTACCCTCAAGTGGCCCAATACGACACCTCATTTTCACAAAAGGAGAACCTCGTCCGACCGCAGTATGTCCTGGTCTTGTTCGGAGCTCCTGCCGGACTGCACGTACTCTGCGAGCAGCACTGCCCTCATCCATTGTCGGCGGGCATCTGAGTCTCTGACTGATTTATGAGCAAGACCCGCTCGATCATGCCCAGGACCTGTTCGGCGGACAGATGGCCGGACGGTTCGCTGGAGTCGACGTCGTTCTGGCTCTCCGGCCTGCGCAGCTGTCAGCAAAGCTGCAAGCAAACAAACCGCAGCTCGGCTGCTCAGTGCTGAGATGTGCTGTGCCAACCGCTGTCGCCGAGCCGCATGCGCTGCCGTAGAGCTTGCTCAAACCGACGGCGCTCGTCAGCCTGCCTGTGTCATACTGATACTGGGCAGCATCACGATCGAGAAAGGCGCGCAGCCCGCGAGACCCCAATGACCCCCATGCCTGCGACGAAGGCTGCCAAAGATGTCCAAGTAGCGAACGGATCGGAAACTCATGGGTAGGTCCAGGTCTTCCTGCCGAGCACAGCGCAGGACGCAGCACACATATGACGTGATACGCTCGACAGCCAATTCGCTTCCGTGGGTGCAAGCAAGTCTGAACAAGGGAATTGATCTTTTCCGGAGGTGGCGCCTTTGATGGCCTTGCTTCCCAGATGAACAGAAGCTTCCAGAGAATGTGTAGCAAGCAGGTTGCTAAAACCAGTAACCACTGAATGAGCTCTTCGGCAACATGCCAATCGCCACCAACATGCCTAGCATGCGCCCAACTCTGCACCGCAGCACAGGATACCAGTGGAGCGCACACAACCACAGCTTTGTAGATCCGCATACGCTGCTTCTCGACATAGAAGTCGAGTTTGTAAAGCACGAGCGTGGTGAACATCAGAGCGCCGGAGCAAATTACCGTGGCAAGCATTGCACCAGGATCAGTCCAGCTTTGGTGCGCTATCCAAAAGTATGTAAGGGCAGGCATCAAGTTGCTGGCACATGCTATAAGGCAGACTCGGGCATAGGCATCGAACGGCAGAAAGGAATTCTGCAGCCTCGCATCCCACCAGAAACTGCTGTTTAGGCTTGGTTTCGCACATCGTGCTCTCTAGCCGTTCTGCCGGGTTTCAACTTGACTTGAGCTTGCTAAGACCATGGCTGCTGAAAAAGCTTCACATGAACGCCCAGCTCAGCTGATAGACCAGGTTCCGATTCCCAGGGATTTGTCGGATCGCTGCACCCACTACCTGCCAGAAAGGCTATGTAAGCAACGCTCTCATACGCACTTCATCACACTTTCCACTTCGGGAAGCACAAATGCTCTGCTGGCGTCTCACACTTCGCTGCATCAAGGGCCTTGCTGCACCGCCCCCATTCCTTGGGCTGCCTCTTCGGCCGAAGCATCCACAACCTGACAACCGCGCGGGCGCTCGCGCGCGGGACTCGAGCAGCGCATACTATGACTCCGACGATGGATTGAGCCCGGTCGAGCCCTCGAAAATACCCTGTCTGGGCACCTGCGCTGCACCAGTCGTTGAGTTCACTGTGCTTCGCAGAGTAAGATTTTGAGGATCATGTCCGGGTGATGGGACATCTTGTCCTGGTGGATCTTGGCCAAGAAGGTTAGGTGGTCTGAAAAACTTGGAAGGTGCGGCTTCATACTGGGCTAGCTGATGTTGAACTCGTTGTAGCTCCATAGCAGTGGGATAAGGAGGCCGGATCGCGCGCGTCAGCAGCTGCACACTGGCAGACTGTGCCGCTATGGCACCATGCATGGCCAGCCATACAGCAAGGAAGGAGTAGCACAAGGCCCCGGCAGACGTGTTCACCCAAAGCAGCTTCAGCCAAGCCGGATGGCCAGGAAAGGTCGGACAATACCAGATGAAGCTCACGCTGAAGCCCAGAAACAAAGTTCCGATGACCATGTAGGTACTCATATGCGAGGTGGTCAGGTTGAAAAGGTCACGGATGTCCTCTCAATCAGGAGCGAAGCAGCTCTAAGGGAATTATTTAGAGCGAGAGGGTCGGGCGGTCTGGCTGTCGGGCTCCTCTCTGAAGAGTTGCCATTGCTGGATGCGCATGTTGATCATCTGGTGAGCGGAGGTCTGCTTCTGACCTTCCGGCACAATGCCAACACCTTCTGTCGGCAGCCCCCTACCCGCTTCCGTAACATTGCAACTGAACTTCCTATTCAAACGCTGAATCACCCTGCCTGCGTCGAATTGGAATCTTCCCTGGTTGTAGGAGTAGGCCTCGGCAACGCAGCAGGTAATGAAAGGAGGACACTGGCACAGCACTCCGCTGTTTGGGGACGAGCGTCGGCATAGGCACTTCCCATGAGAGATCCCAGCACCATTGCCGTTCCCGCGGTCCACGCGTCTCCGCTTCGGTCAGGTCAGGTGGTCAGGTGCCGGGGTTGGGACTTTGAGCTCCGAAGCCTCTTGAGCTCAAGGACTCAAACGAGCAGGCACCGCAAGCATCCGCAAGCCGCAAGATGCCGCAAGCAACAACATATTTCATGTAACCAAACCACTAAAACACGGTCTCCACTTTGCGCGCTTCTCGGCCGCTGTCAAAGCAGGTCAGCAGAGACTCGCCTCTTGGAGGCACAAGCGCAAGCTATTGGAATCTACAGGAAAGGCTGAAAGGCCAATGATGCGCGGAGAGTGCAGGTGCTCAGAGGTTCTCAGAGGAGCAGCTGGGTGGCAGTGTTGGGGACGCAGGTTCCTGAAGTGCAGCCCAACTGTCCCTCGGCATAGCAGCCCCCATCGCCCGGACAAAAGCGATTGCTTTTGCAGTGATGGCAGCAAGGTCCGTTGGAAGGGGGCTTTGGGCAACCATCCGTCGCAGTGGCATGAACCGACCTGTTCTGTGACTTCTCATGCTCTGGCGGCTTTGGTGGTTCTGGCCCGCCGTGCGGAAGCAGAACAGCCTTTAGGAATTGATGGTCAGAAGGAGCACCCAGGGTACTCTCCTGGCTGCAAAGCCCCACACCATGATCTGCGAAGATATGGTCCGCCCCTTGAAACACTGTGTCCCAAGCAGCATCTTCCAATTTCTCTCTTAAAGACACCAGTGTCTGATCCCAAATCCGGCAGTTGAAATCCCCGGTGAAAATCACGACGTCCTCGTGCTTTTTATGATTCCATATAGACCTCCAATATGCATCTGCAACTTGCTGTCCACGCTCACCTGCGCAACATTGCTGAAATCTAGTCAGACCCCAAGCCCTAGCCGCGCAGACGACTCCCGAAGCCCCTTCAAACGCGACGCATTACTAGAAGTAGTACCTCCCGGCGAGCCTTGGACATTGCCTAACATTGCTCGTAGTGGCTCTTTCCCGTTTGTCACCGCTCTGCCTACTCTGCATCTATTTGAGAAGAGCTCTGGCCTGTACACTGACCAAGGGGGCCATGCGTGTTGGCGAAGAAGATCACGGTATTGCTGCTGTACTCCAGAAGCCGAACCCAGTTCAACCATCTTGGGCTATAAGAGTCTTGTGCGATCCATTCGCTGGCCGGTCCCTCTAGGACTTTGAACCTGCACAGAGGGAAAAAACAGACCGACAGTGACCGACCCCCTTTCACGCAATGCTAGCTGCTAGCATTTCGGGCATGGCCTCGCCTGGCCCAGCTCCAAGCCATGGGAGCATCGTTTCCGCTTGGCGTGGAGTAGTAGCCGAAGTTGGAGAGCCCGGCACCAGCAACCACCTGCTCCACATTGTCACACTCCTGGAATCCGATTAGGTCCACTGGGTTGGTGGAAATTCGCTGGTACAGCTGGGTGAAGCCAGTTCCAAAAGCAAATTGTGGACAGTTCCCAAACTTGTTGGACACGCACCACCAGTACAAATTATATGTGGCAACCGCCACCTTCAGCCCGTTACACGCCATCTGTATCCTGGCCTTGAGAAGATTTCGGCGGAACAGTACGTGCTCTCTGCTTGTTGCCAGCTATACTCAAGTTGCAATTCGCACAAGCAAGCGTGCCACTTTGTGCGAGCCGGTCGAAATTGAAAGTCGTCAGCTAGAGTAAGTACGCCAAGCACGCGAACTGGACTATGCATTGCGTCTCAAAACGATGAAAGTGTGCGTTGGCATACCTCACGACCCATTTGGCCTGGGAACTTTCGGGAACCGTTTGCAGCTGCAGTAGAGACTGCACACAGCTCCGACATGTCTGCACATCGAACCTGAAACCGGAATGGCTGCTCGCATCCGAATGAATTCAAGCCATACTGCCGCCGACTGGTAGCAGCATGTGGACCGTCACCGTGGGCACTCGGGTTCGCATCTGGGTGATACACCTGTTCGCACAGCAGCAGTACTCAGCAGTATGATTTGAATAGCTGCTGCCATTCAAGGCGGGCATCTTGCATTCCAAATAACGTTTAAAAAAGTTGAAGGAAGACGGCCTTGCACCATTGAGGCCATGCACTGTGGCATGTCACCCATGTGCTGGCTAGCCTTGAAAGATATGCCAGAGGGCTCCTGATGAGGACCCCTGACGCCCCTCGTGTCCCAGATACAGGGAAGCATATGATAGCGGTTCAAGCTTGTGTGCTGAAGTCAGTCAGTGCCCTCTGGGCAACTCTGTAAAGTTAAAGTGCTACGAAACATCTACTCACCGCAGCAGTCAGCCCTCCACGTGCTGACTGGAGCCGCTGGAGTCTGTTGTCGGAACTGCACAGAGGCTGCGTTGTACAGCCGCACGACACTTCACGTGCTGCAGCAAGCTTTGTTAGTGCCGAAGGCTGTGGGGAATAAGAGGACGCTGTGTGGAGAACAACCGCCTAAACCTAAGCCACAAACCCTAAAAACAGCTCCTGCACGACCGCTTCCGACACAAGCCAGTTGCAACCAACTCGGCCAACGTTCGAAGTATGTAACGGTATATAACTTAGCCTGCTTACTTGCATCGCCTTCGCGCGTGTCGAGCGTTTTCTCTCCAAGGCCGTTTACAATTCCGCACAGGTTTCCGGACCCTCGCATTGCAAAAGCGCGCCACGGATCGAAATTAGAAGGGCCGCGAACGTTTTCGGCTTCGTGGCTCCGCTGAAGGACACGGGGCCGCAATCTGAAGAACTTTAGAACCCTGTCTGCACCAAGCTGCAACGAGAGCATGATGCACGACTCTGCTTAATCCTCGGGTCCTAGATCTCACGATCTAGAACAACAGGTCATGTACAACAACACAAGAGCACGGACCTCAGCAGCTACTGCTACTCCCCGCACCTGAGTATCTGCCAAGTAGGCAGAACAAGACGGAGACAAGCCACACCAGCATCAGTGCACCTGCAAGAGCCATCGTTGATCGTGCGAGCCACCGTTGATCCAACAAAGTCACATGATTCTCTCGGCCTAGCAAGCCACTGCGCATCGCAGAAATCACAAGTGGCACAGGCCCTGACGCCCGCAGAACTTCGCTTCACAAATCGCAATGTTCTGCTGTGTGCGCTTGCCACGCCCTGCCTTCCAAGCCACTCGCAGCTTCTGGCGAGAAACCGGTGCGTTCTTGAAATGCAAGCAGAGCAGACCTTGGCTATGTCTAGCGGCTCTAGCGGTCTCGCGAAAGCAGGATGCTTGCATTCGGCATGAGTAGAGTACAATGAAGCCAGCAGCAGCGCCTGCCATCGCTGAACAAGACGACCCAGAGTCCACCCAACAGAGCTGAGAGCTGAGAGCTGAGGCCTGCCGGAAGTGGCTTCGAACAAAGCTCGACCTCAGGCCGTCGACAGGGGAGTACGGTCTGCAAAACTTCTGAAAAGCCATCCCGTATCCCACGGCCACGGCGGGACTGCGTGCGTGTCGGTAATTCCACACACAAGCCTGTCAGCATCAGAACCACTCATTTGAGTAAATTTGATGTTTTCCTGATGCGCTTGTTGTCCATTTGTCAAGCCCCTTGCCAGCTCGCTGCTGTGAGCGCGCCCAGCGGTGAAGACACGGGTGCCGTCAGAACCATGAGAAAGCTCCACCTGAAAGGCGTTGATTGCTCAAGACGCCGTCTACCAGACTTTGCCACCGGTGCCGGTGCTTCTGGGGAAACCGCAGACTTGCTGCTGCACCTGATCAATGCTTCGCCAGGTATGTGCAGAATTGAGGATGATCTGGGATGATTGAGGCCAGGCCACCGCCACGTGCAAATGCTGGCGTCAATAAGCGCAAAGCTCCTCTGGCTCAATCCGAACCTACAACACACCAAACCGAAGCGCGCATTGCAGTGCTTCAGACTAGATATAAGTCCTGCCAAAGGAAGAAGGTACCCAAGCGTAGCCATGCTCCGCTGAAGAGCACTTGGCCTGCACAGTAGAGGGTCTGGCGAAACGAACTCGCTTGTGCAAGTCAAGCTGTGCACTTGGATGGAACAATTCAAGTTCCCACACCTCTGCTTCGAGGTCTGTGGCAGAAGTCCTCGCTGAGAGTCCACTTGAATCCACGCTCTCCCAGGTCCAGGCCCGAAGATCTCGGAGATGTTCCCACGTCCCAGCATCTTTGACAAGTTGGTCGAGCATTTTCACGAGCTTGTAGCGGGTTAAGGCCTTTCGTATCGGGATTTTTGGGCAACTCTTGCTGGGATAGAGACTAGGTTATCTGACGCATCTGTCTGCAACACCATGCATAATACAGTGAAACAAACACTTCCTCACATTGCAGGAAGCGACATCACAGAGATGGCTGGGATGTGGCAACTCGTGCACATCTTGAGGCCCGTGTTCTAAGACTCAATAGGTTTCAATCACACCCACATCAACCGAGTCTGACAGTCCATGGCAGCGCATATCAGCAAGGCGCATGTCAGCAACGTCCTGCCAATCTCGGACGACACCAGCGCCACAGCCTGTTGTTGACACAGCGCTATGGCTATGGCATCTGCCTACTGTTCGTTTGGATCAGGCTCGCCGTTGACCCAGGCTCAGGTTGCTAGCAGACATCTGCAGACGATCAGTGACGGATGCGGAACTTCATTTCAATTGCTTCCAAGGCGCCTGCGGTGAGGTAAGAAATAAGCTGAAATATACGCATTAAACCTCGCAGGAGCAAGGAGCAACATGCAGGCAGTCATTGAAATGAAATCTTTCCATGGCTTCCACACTTGAAGCTGAGTGTCCCGCTGTCTTGTAAACTCAGGATCCACGTCCCTGGAGATATAGGGGCACACACAGCTTGCATGACATGAAATTCTTGTCTTCGCAGCCACGACCTGTCATTCGGAGTTCTGGAAGCACTGCCCTGAGCACCATCACCTTCCTCCTCAGCACGAGTCTGATGCAACTCGTCCCGGTCCCGGCAAAGCACCGAGGCGCCAGCTCCCGAAGATTCCCCGGCTGCGGCTTTGCCTGGTTGCGAACTGCAGGCACGGCGCATGCCTCGGCTGAAAACATCCCACACACACTGAGAATCTGCGCGAGCGGCTGTCTACAAAGGTGACGGGATTGTGAGAGCTGCCCCCAGCCCCGCACCTCTGCGCAGAAGGCACGAACAGCATGTGCTCAGAGCTATTCTCTGTACCTCCGACACTCAAGAACTGAAAGCAAGACCGTTTAAACTCGAGGTGTGACAAACCGAAAGTGGCGCTTACCAGAACAGATTGAGTTCCTCTGCGCACATCTTTGCCTCATCAATGCGGCACAAAGGTCAGCAATTAATCCGGTGTTACATGACTCATCGCTTCACCAAAATCAAAGATCTCCATCGCCTGCACCGATTTTCTGTGCATTCCGTGCCACCGGGCGCGGACGTGTTCTGTCTGCCTCGGCCTAGGTGATCTGGTCTTTTCGAGCACGGCTGCAAGGCCTCCGCCTCCAAACTTTAGATCCTGGCGGCCAAGTTCTGCCATCGGAGGGCCGGCGGCGGCCTGTAACACTGCAATGCGCGCCGACTCAGCGATACGTACACGAGCTGGGCCTGGAGATTCCATAAGCCATTGCCCAGTCACTTGCACAACGCACCACAAGCCATTCTCTACACTTGGACAGAAAAGGAAGATCTGAGCAAATTTCAACCATGTCTCGCTTGCATTGCAGAGCTGGTGCCTGCAGGCCGCTGCAGGCCCACAACCCGAAGCGGCAGTTGTGACACGCTGTTCACTTTTCCTCTTCACGCTGGCTGTGACCGACTTGGCTGCATGTCGCCAAGGCCGTTCGGTGGCTTTGTGCCTGCGCAAGGTCCTGCAGACTGTCTGTTCCTAAGCAGTCGCGTCTTCGGGCTTGGGCGGGCCGCCATTGTCGGCACCATTCTGGTCGGTGAGCTGCCTTAGCTAAGTTCTGCGATCAGGCCGCAAAAAGACAAGTGTCCTTGACCGAAGAACCAGCAGAGCCCTCAGATGCTGAACCTCCAAACCCTCGAACCATGATTCCAGCAAATGGCGCCCACTGCATGAACAGACGAGCAAGTCAACGGCTGAGTGGAGCGCTTTGGCTTGTAGCATTCCCTGAGACCTGAGTGGGGTGGAGCTGTGGTGATTGAAGAACGTGAGGAAGCTCTCTGAGAGCCAAGAGTCCCACTTGTTCTCTTCTGGCCTTTTGCCTTTTCAGCAAAGATGCCCTCGGTGGTGACGCCGACCTCAGAAATTCTGAGGCTGCAACACGCTCGCAGCAGCCTCTCAGCCGTCACTAAACACAGCGTAAGCTTCCAGCGAGACCCTCTCCCACCACTAGAAACAGATCCGTCACGGGAACGAAGGACCTGCAGCGAGAGGCAGGATGTCATCAGTTCCTGAAATCAAAGTCTAAGAAGCTCTTAGCTGTCTTAGCTCTTGCGAGGAGCGAGGAGCCCACCATTCTGGCGGAGTCGCCCCGGGCTCCAAGGGCTCCAACCCTCGCGACGTTGGCATCTCCTGTGTTACGACCCTTCTCACAAAATGCCAATGGCTCTCACCCCTTTCCAAGTCAACCTCAAGAGGCACGCTTTCTGTCCTTGCCATCCCATCCGAACGTCTTGGATGTTTGATGGTCAGCTCCTGAGTCTTCAGCACAGACACGGTGACGCAGTGCTTACAGTAGTGTTACCTGCAGGGGGACAGGTCCCCGAATGGGTGCATGTTCGTCAATGCGGATTCGTCTCGCAGCGTTGATTATTGCCAATATTGTTATTATTATTATTGTTGCCACATGATTAAAGAATCGCTTCCTCGTGTGCTGGGTTTAGGAATCGATGGGATCCTTGGGAGAACTATCTGCTGTCACAGCTGGCCCGCGCAAAGCATGGTTTTGACTGGTGGTCAGAGGGTACACCGGACAGGAACTGGCTCATCCTGTCGAGAAACCACAGCCGTTGCTCTTTTTGACGTGCACAGTTGATGTGTGGGCTTAGTCCGCGTTGTCTGTGTGCGTGTATCCCACCTCATCTACTTCTAGTCGCTTTGGCTTGTGCGTGTCCTTCATGCGACTCTGGAGAGCGTTTGAAATTGGTTGGTCTTTATCTCCTCACAAAAAATGCAAGAGCTCGTTGGCTCGTTTCTGCCTCAAAAAAGGTAACGAAACCTCAAAAGCCAAGAAAGCGCCTTAGCGCCTTTGTGTGCCTTCGATTTTGTTCATGACCTGAGAAAGCCTTCTCCCTCGAAAATAACAGCCTCTTAATCCCGTCTGAAAACGTAGGAGGTAAGACAGCTGGACGTGCAAGGACGACAAGATGTCCAGGAACGTGAACAAACCAGCGAACGCAGACCCTCACCGATCTGACGTGAGTGGGTCCCGGGAAATCGGCATGAAGAGAGCGCTTGCTGCAATAAGTCATTTTTGGGGGATGCAGCCGAGTTTCTGAAGAGGCCCAGGTAGCGATTTCCCTCAGTCTCCTGCACCCATTTGACGATGTCCTGCAACAAAAGACATGAGTTGTCGAGTTGGCTGTTCGCGCGTGTCATCGTGCCTTCCACAGCAGGAGGCCGAGTTTACGCACCTGGATTCAGTTCCACCGACGCCTACGCCTTGTATGGCGCGAGGTGCGCCTCTGTATCGGTGAGGGGAACTGCAGCATCCTGAAAGTCCAGGGCAGCTGCAGCTAAAGGCAGCGAATTCGTTCCCGGGGGCTGAGCGAAACCGCTCGGCAAGATCGCAGCCATGGCAGATCTCCACTTCCTCGCCCATTTGCAAGCCCTCCAACCGGCAGTTGGATGGACCTGAGCAAGTGCCCAAAATGTGCCAGCTGCCCCTTCAACGACCACTCGGACAACCCCCCCCCCCGTCCACGTCGCCCCCACCTTTGTCCTAGACTTCTGCAACATTCGTGACTGGAAACCTTTTGTCAACATCTTCTGACCCGGTTCACCCATCGAGGCTCTCACAGCGATGACCTCGCGTGCATCTCGCATCGGCGTGAGCTCGGCAGACTCCTCTGCTTTGTGTGGTTCACCAATCGAGAATCAACTGAGCCCGGTTTTGTGCGGTGCAGGACACACGAAGTGTTGATCCAGTCGTACCGTGTTTCATGTTAGATAGTTTTTAAGGTACGTTGACCAAAGGTGTTTGTTCCCGTCGCAATTTTTGAAGATGGGGCCTTGGAGGAGTTTGCTTCGATCGGATTTTTACAGGGCTCTAGTGTTGCTCGAAACTTGCGAACCGGGAGAACTGCTCGGATGTCGAGTTTCTATCGAAGAGAAAACCATTTTGTATATCATTCCAGCTGATTGTGCATAATTGCTCGGCAAGTATGTCCTGTTCAAAACAGGAGCAGGCAAACTCACCAGCTCATTGTAAACTACTGTGAAATGAATTGGGTTCTCCTACGAGGATCTGATCAAGTGCATGCCTCGAAATCTCCGGAAACTGCACCAATAGGTGATTGCATACGGTCGAATCCTTTTTGACTCCAGCGGTTTGAGTGCGTGTAACACTGTGTCGAAGGGCAGTATAAAGATGCATTCGCGGTATCAATCCACGACTGTGCTGAAAAGCGCGTGCCGTTGAAAAGAAGTGTTTGTCTGGAGTCATGCCAGCACGGAGAGTGTTCCTGTCACGGCTAATAGCTGGCATCTGACGAGTAGGACGTTTAAAAGCTTGACAGAGAGCCTTCGACGAAAATCCAGCAAGTCATTAAGCACGCGCGACATGCCCATCAAGCCTGAGCCTCAGATGCAGCGACTACGAACGGCTTTGGTTGAGCTCCGTATTGGGTCTGGTGCACTGTTGATGTTAATCGTGGTGCCGTCCTGCTGCTACTAAGGTGCGGGTTCTGTGTGCGCTTGTGTGTGTCTGGCTGGCTGGCTGGACTGGCGGGCGGGCGGGTGCGTGCGTGCCCGTCTGTAGACACCTGGTCCTGGAGCATTCAATGCAGACGTGCGCGTGCCCCAAATGCTACTACGAGTAGGCTGGTGCAACCGAACGGTAAACGTCTTCGAGGATAGCCCCAGCCAGATCCTCTGCTTGCGACGGCTTTTGCCCATCTTCATCGCTGGTTGTCCAGCGGGCCTTCGTAACATGGATGTCGCGTGCACGCTTTCAGAGGCCGCTTGCACCGTGCCTCCCAAGCCAGGTCTCTCTTCCGTTCCCGTTCCTTTGTGGCGCGAGCGGCAATCTCATGGGCCAACACGGCGAGCGCACGGCGAGGGCCTGTGTCTGAGGCAGAAACAGCCATGGAGCCTCGGCCTCGGCCTTGCAGTGAGCTAAGCACATCTTCTCTTGCGCTGTGACGAGCTTAAGAGCTGAGGGCACTGGCTTCGAATCGGATTGCGTTCATACCAGTTCGTATCATCTCGGTGGCGTCGGCCATCGTCCACCTCTTGATTGCTATCACAGCAGGATATGAGCCGAGACTTCTGAGTGCCTCATCGTCGTTCGACCGACGGCCCTTCTTGTCGTCCCTGTCTCTACGACGACGGCTTCGACTCCTGCTCCTGTGACACTTGACTGCTGCAGAAGCAAAACGATCTGCTTGCCAGTTCTCTCAAGTCCTTCTCCGGCTCCTGCTCCTCTCAGTGTGCAATTCTGGAGATATGTGGGGTCCCGCAGATTTCGGAGCTCCTGCTCCGCTTGCCATGCTCTGCTGGAACTTCCTGGCATGGCGGATCGCAGCCGCACTCCCTCTCCCTCCTCTCCCTGGCCTCTGGAGGCGCTTGCACGGGCTCCCCGCTGCTGTCCCAGACGTGGGAGTGGATGGCCTGACGAGTTGTCCTTCGTGAGCTTCCTCTCTTAGTGCGTGATAGCCCACTGCGGATTCAGATGATGTGGAGCCATTCCTACTCGCGGCATAATGGTCTGGCGAATGCTCGCAAGTGCGGGCTCTTACAGGCCTGGCGCAGCTCGCGCCAAAGGCTCATCTCTGGAAACGTCTGCATAATTTTCGGCCAGCCTCACGTCGATGCCCGCACACGATTTGCCGTCAGACACCGGTCCAGGCCATGCCAGCCAGCGGAATCTTCTGGAAGGAAACTCAGTAAGCTACTGCCCCGTACACAGTCGTTGAAGCGCTTCGCCTGTCGAAGCAGGTTGTGGCAGATCTTAGCCGCAGCACCTGTGTGCTGTAGCGGCGAATTGCCTCTGCCATAGCTGCCCTGTTGAGGAGGCACAAGAACTGCGCTCGGAAGCATTTGGGAGCCTGGCATCGAAGCAGCGAAGCAGGAAGAAGGCATGCCGTTCGATGTCCGCTGCCAGGGTCCGAACACAGTCGTACGCTGTCCTGATTGGCACCTCGGCATTGCGCCAAGCTGTGTTAAAGCACCTGAGAGGAATGTCCGAGAAGCGCACGCTGGCGTAAAGATCGAGAAGATGCGTCTTTTCAAACCTTTTGCCGATGCCGATACCGGATTGCGGAGAATCTCAAAGAAGACCGATTGGAGCCGCACCACTCTGTCATTAGCGTCTGCATGTGACAGCTGTAGAACATTCGAGAAGATCGCCTTACGCGAAGCACTTCGGGGGCTGCAATGAGCTCAGCAGCACTCATCCAGACATGCCGGCAAGCGGCTCAAACTTGATACGGGCTCGCCCCTGCAAATCAACGTCTTAGACGCAACACATCTAAAGAAGCGCCTAGGCCTGGAGTATCCTGGAGTCTTAGAGCGTAGATGCATCGAGACATGCTGCTTAGCTGTAGCATGCTGTAGCCCTGCACGCCTGTGCCACGTTTGAGACTTCCCCTTCGGTGACTATGCCACAGACTGCACCTTACACCCAGACTGGACAGTAGCTCCCAAAAAGAGAGCAGAAAAGCTTGGTAAGGCGACAACAGAGCAGTCGACTGGCTTCTGCAAACAACGCCTGAGGAAATCCATAGTGACTGGTATCCTCTAGGTTCCGTCATGACGGAGACAGTGGCACAATGGCCTCCTGCGGCCTCTCGAGCATCATCTCGGTGGCCGTGCCGCCCATGACGCCAACCTGAAAGATTCAACAGGGCCACGCTGCTTGGATCAAGCAGCGCTACTGGGATTCGAGCAATGAGTTTCAATGCATGGCGTTGCTCCTGAAGTCCTTGCCGAAGCTCTTCGGATGCCTGTTCAAGGAGATGCCCACAAGATGCCCGGACTCACGGACGAAGGGAAACTCGCGCTGGACTGACAGATTGCCCCCAACAGGGAGCACAGCTTGGCAGGGAACAAGATGAAGTGCGAGCAGCTCAAATGGTGACTATGCAGGGAAACCTTTCCGAAAACCAGGAAACTGGGAGTGGTTTACGCTATTAACTGTCTACTTCTCATTCCAGCAGCCCAACAAAAAGAGTTTGCCATCGTTGCGTTGGCTCCACTTCCAAAAATCATGATGCATCCAACGATTGCTACCGTCGGCGACTTGGCATTTTGAATTTCAGGCCTCCGAGAGTCTGTGGAAAGCGGCTTGAGCCTCAGGTGTGTCACAACCAATACTGTTGAATCGAACCAACTCTAAACATCGGAATAGATGGGAACAGTCATGCTGTCTTGCAGCAAAAGCCAGTAGAGCCGAGCAATGCATAGCAATGCTACCTTCTCAGCCGCCATGCTACCTTCTCTCATCGTCATAACAGGTCTCCATTTCAATCTGGGTGCAGCCGAGCAGCCTTGTCTCCCAAATCCGGGTTCTTGTCCGGGTGGAGCGCTCGAGAAAGCTGCCAGGGCAGATGTTGCGATTTGCTTCAAAACAGGTCGACATGAGCCTGGCGGTATGCGTAGGCAATGTCTGACTCCCCATAGCCGCCCAGATGAGCACCACCAAGCCGAAGCACGGCCCCAGCAAAAGGGACTCGACCGTCCTTTTCGTCGGAAGTGAGTAGAAGGTTCCAGCACACGAAGCAATGGAAGAGAACTCCAGGAAAGCGCGCGGCCTCCGGACAGATTCTCACCACCTCATCTGATGGCAGTCCGACAAGGATCTTCTGCTCCTTGTGGGCATCCGCCACCTGAAAATGCATCAGCACAACGGGATTCCCAGGCTCTGCTTGCCAACCTGTGCTTTAATCTGCCTCCACCCAACCCGAAATCATGCTGCGCGCCTGAAATCCAAAACCCCAAACCCGCTGCGCCAAAAACCCTTACATTTCTTTAGACAAAAGCCTTGTTCTAGCTTCGTGTTTTGCCCGAATCAGCGAGAAGTCCACAAAACAAAAGCCCGGCAGCATGAAACCATGGGGTAGAACTTGCAACATCGCATAGCGCCGAGTGTGTATCAGCGAAGTGCCCGTTTGCTCTTACCGAATGTCTCAGTCTCAGGCAGACTCGCGAAGCCGTCGTCGAATGACTGCATCTGCGAACCTTGGACCAACTTTGATTAGCGGCATGGAGTTGGCCAGCAAAATTCAGATATGCACGAGTGCTCATGCTGCCACATGTTGGAACTCAAGAGAAGCTATGCCGAAGCGCATTAACTCCAAGCACTGCTGGGCATGAGTCCATGGCAATGTAGTAGTATATGACCAAGCACCCTGCCAGGGCTCGTCACCACAGATCTCCACTCCGTCGAGTTTGACTATGGCGACGCCCTGGCCGTGAGAATAGCTCCAGCCAGAGACCACATAGTGCACGCACGGCCCGCAGCATGATCCTTCGCGAGGTTAGGCCCCTCGCCACGTCTGAAGGTGGAGGTGGCGGTGCCGGTGGCTGTGGGGGAGGAGGTACTTGACCCGGCACCTGCCGGACCGGACACGGCAGAAGGTTAACAAAGGACACTCCAATGCGCCTGCCTGAGCTCCCGCTACCGGAGCAGCAGGCGCTCCCCCTGCCAGGTATCGGTCCCGAAGTGGTCTGAAGTGGACACAACGGCACAGGCCTAGTTTGGCCAAAGGCTTCGCGGCTTGTTCAGCTTTCTGAGCCTAGAGACGGAGGGCGGCAACCAAAGGAGCCCCACTTCGGCATAGCCGTGGGCTCCGGCCTTGAGCCGCTCCAAGATCTTCTGCTTCACAGCGGGAAGCTTGGCTCGGCGAGCAGCCTCAGGCAGACCTGATCCAATGCGGCTCGGCCCTCGGACTGGGTCCCTAAACCCACTGTGCCACAGTTTATGACTCAGGGCCGTACTTGCAGGAAGGGCCTTTTCGGCCATCTCCTATTGGAGCACCAAGTGTTAGATGCATGCTCTGGCTCTGTCTGACTGTTTAACTTTCTTGCTTGAAGCACGGAGAATCATGGAGGAGAAAACGCTTGCCCGGCGGCCCGGCCTGGGCTTGCTTCTCCAGGTCATCTCCCTGCACTGTCTCAAAGACACAGCCCGACTCTTAGACTTTCGACGAGTTCAGCCATCAAAGAGGGCGGGTGCCGTGGGTAATCTGACGCGGCATCCCAAACCGTGAAGACACATTGCTTCTGGTGATGCCGAAATGCGACACCACAGTGTTTGACGCCGAGATGTGTGGCGAGGCCACAGCGTGACACTGCATTTTTGGGGTGATGACGCCGGCGAATTGGCGACGCCGCATTGGGTGTTGACGCCGTTCCCGGTGCAGGCTAGAGCCCAGCCCTTACACGATGTCTGCATGCTCAGGGGCCCGTTTAACGGGAAACATACCTGCAAGACCAGCATGAGCAGAGAAACACGAACTAAAGCACGTCATCCCCTGCTGTTCGAATGATCCATATCACAACTGCTGTCTCTTAGTTTCCAACGCTTCGAAACAGCCAACCACGACAATGAAGCAGAGACAGTCCGACAGTGGCATCGAGGACTTTCGTATCTAAGTGGTTCAAACAATTTCCGCCTGCCACGCTGGATATCAGCATAAATCAGCTTTAGTTGCTGCAACCACTGCCAGTTCCACTGCCGATGGACCATATGGATCATCATCAAAGTAGACTATGGTTGGAAACGCCTGGAAAATTGAACAAGGTGTGATTATCAATTCCTGTGTGCTCTCATCTACACTTCTTTGAAGTGGTGCTGGCAGTTCTAGAATTCGCACACGAAAGGAATCGCTATGAATCGCTGACAACAGCCCCTGCAGCTACAGCCGAGGCGGCGGCATCCGCCATGATGCACCGCGATCCCGTCTCGGGACACCTGGGGCAAGCGCAAGTTGGCGCATCAGAACCCGGAAAGCCATCGAGCCAGCACTGGCTTGAAGCCTGCAAGAGCTTTCAGCACCAGCCTGCGGCACTGCTGCCTGGCTCTGGCTGGGCAACAATTGCACCACGAGCACTGCTAGCCCAAGCACGCACTTTTGTGGATCGTTCTATGTGATCAACGCTTTGCCGCCTTGCCTGCTGCGTCACCGGGCGCTGGCATCATGCAGAGTCGCTTGTTTGTGCATGCTGGAATTATACGCAGGGTTGGCTGAGTCCTGCTGCGATCATTTCAGGGGCTCGGGCTTGTCTGGTCTTCTTTCCTTGCTCACCGAAGGCCGAAGCTTGGCCGCACTGCTGGGGATGGAGGTCGCGAGAGCTCCAGTTTAAAGTCGCTTGCATGCTAACGCTGAAGTGAGTCTGTAACTTTGAACATCCATGCCAGCTATCAGCCATATCGTGTGCAATGCAACAGCACACCATTCAAGAGTGGCGTGGCCCACTCAAACACAGTTCACGGACTGGGTCAATGACATGAATTTGGTTCCATGTGACCCTGAACACGATGCTTCAACAACGCCTGGCATGAAGCACACCATATGAACGCAAGCAATGAACAGGCTGCTTCAACACCGCTTGACCATGCGATTTTGGTACGAGTACCATACACCATTCGTACGAGAACGTCAACATGCCAGCCGTCAGCTCGCACCGGGCGGCTTCAGCACCAGTCAGTGCGAACCTTCATGCATGATGTCACGATAATAAGATGGGGAGACTCCAGGTGCAAAGGGAGAACTTGAGTTCAAGGTTCTGCAGCTGCTCTTGCAGATATGGGCACAGGAACGAAGGAAGGTACGACAAGTTCACCTTTGAATACAAAACAGCGGGAAAGAGCATACACAATCTAATGCTAATGCAAAGCAAGCTATGCATGTGCGAAGATACCGTTCCACTTGCGACGCGAACAAGAGCGCTCTTTGCAGCCGGGATTCTGGAAGTGAGGCAGAAAGGCTGGTAGCTTTCAGTTCAACAAGGAGGTTTTATGTCTTAAATGAAAGTGCGCGGAAAGCAAAAAATCAAAGTATCCTTCCAGCGAGCCGAGGAACGTTTCGAGCAGATCACGGATCCCCAGACTACACTCCATTCTCACAGGATGTCTGGAGGCAGACCATCTTTTTGTTCGGACGTACTCGCGGGGCGAATCGAGGCTACTGCTCTAAGGAACTAGCATCATGGTTCTTCACCATGGTGCCTGTCAACCTGAAGGCGTAGCATGTGCCAGGATCACGCTGAAGGGTCGGACTTTGGAAGCCGCAACTTTTGCTACGCCATGACAGGTGGAAAAAACTTCACAGATATCGCCTCGATGCCCGCTCGAGGGGATCCCCACGAGGGGACAAAGTCGGATCACAAGGAATGTCACGTTGCGGACAGGCTGTCGCTTGGCTGGGAGCCGTTGGCTCCCGCGCGCACCTTGTGAAAATCTTCCAAGCAGCTGGGCACAGTCAGCCAGTGATGACCCTCCGCTTGTGGCAATGGGTGTTTGTCAGGTCTTGATCTGATACAACGAGTCGGCCTTTGCCCTTGCCACTGCAATGAAGATCACCGTCTGGCGGCTCGCCGCCCGGTGCTCTCATGCTTGAATCAAAAGCCACAGGCCGGAGCAAAGGGCCCGCATGAGAAATCTGATTTCAGACTTTAATTGAACAATTCCTGCAGAATTGACCTCTATGCCAGCAGCAAGCCGGCTTGATGCGAGGTGGTTCAGAGAACTTTCGACTTTCAACTGGACAGTGTCCAGGCAGCGGATGTGGCACAGAAAGAGACTTTGAAACTCTCTCTTCCTGGCTGGTGTGCACTTGTTGGCTGTCAGTGTCTCTTCCTGCCCCTTGGCGTGATGGAAAAAGTGGGTGAAGCGGTGTTTGTCAAAACTTCTTGTAGCTTGACAATGTCCGCAGATTGCCCTCTCAAAACTATTTTCGGACGCCCTTGAAAACCCCGGCACTCAGGTGAAGATGTACATGCCGTCGTTTCCTTCAGCCTGACACAACCCGAATGTCTGAGTCTGGTGTCATCTGACTGGCTCCAAACGATTGGCACCTTCTGCACAGCAGTGCAGCGAGAGGACACGCGCCACAATGCCTGGCACAAGACTTCGCTTGCAGCGGTCGAGCATCACGTGAAAAATTGTAGATTCAGGACGCTCGTGCCTTGTGGATCGGAGTGGGGTCGTACAAGTACAAATCGGGGAACTTCTCCTGCAGAACTGCAGGAAATACCGAAACAGAGGGAAGGAGGCACGTTCTTCAGCTCTCCTTAAGAGCTTCCGTCGCCTTCCTCGCCTTTGCAGGGCAGCAGAGAGCAGCACTCAGCCTGGCCCAGGCCTCCGTGCTGGGCGCCGAGCCTTGTAGAACGGGATGGCTGAGCAAACGTGGTGGGCCACATGTGTAGAGCCGATCCTGAAGCAGGCGCCGCATGGCGCGCATAGGGGCGATTTCGAGCCGTGCCTGTGGTGGACGTAGTCCAGCACCGGACCTGTCTACGCTGATTCTGAGTCTCTGGACTCCCTCCCGCCAAGACTCGGAGCCCAACCGTAAGGTCGGTCGACAGTGTGGAATGCACCCTTCACCCATGTCCAATTCTCCTGGCAGAGTCCATGTCACAACTCTGCACGGCACTAGTGACTAGTGTGTATCCAGCCGGGTGCCTGCATGCTACTTCAGATCTCGTTTAACCTCAAGGTCGGCCGGGGGCGTGGGGCTAGCGCTTCAGCTTTGGTTGCATATGCTTTCGGAAGCACGCCCACGGCCATGGTTCAAGAGCTCACGTTTCCAGATATGCTTCCCTGGTGCCCCATGCCACGCTTCTGTATCTTCTGTTGCATTGTCGGAGGGTCCGTGGACTTGGTCCATCTTGCCTCCAGGCCTGAGTTGAGACTGGGTAACGGTTTAAGCTTAAGCTGCCTCCCCGGAAGCCGATCCTCGTCGAAGTGCGGGATGTCAACATCGGTGTGCTGGAGCCAAGTGTAAAGCACCAACCAGCAGTTAGTCACCTCGTCAATGCCCCTTCCTAACCGTTCCAGCCGAAACTCTCAAGAGTGGGTAACCGGGTAAGCCAGTGGCCATCAAGGGCGCAAGATACAGTGCGAAGACCGGCATAAATCCACTGGTCTTTGCCTGCAGCTGCCGGGTTTCCATGCAAAGCCACACATTGCCGACTCTAAAGCGGTAAGGCCAAAGCCCACCACATCAGGATTCCAGCCATTGCGACGATCCCCACATCCGAGAGGAGCACCTGCCAGAGATGCAAGGGACCGAATTCTCAGCTCGTGCTGCCATGCAGAATGCCTTCGACTTCCATGCTTTGGGGAACAGCTCCTTCCTCCCGTTTCGGAAGGGCGGGAAAGGCCTCGGACGTCTGTGCCAAACGACTACATCAAGTGCGGGTTCTAGACTGCTGAAAAGCTTTATGCTGAGCAAAGCTGCCACATGTGGTTTGTGGTGCCATACGCTGGCCCTCCGGTGGCACCACCGAGAATGTACCTCACCCGGCCCGAAGTTTCAAAGAGTAATGCCGCGTGGGCTGTGTTGGGAATCCGACGCAGGCCAACCGAGCACGAGGTGTGTAATCATCCGGGTCGCTGCAACTGAACTCTGACCTCGACGGAATTAATGCTTGCTGCTTAGAGACAGACACGATTGTGCGGCTCTAAGAGCTGAGCCAAACCACTTAGCCAGATTCTGGTACTTGTTGGTGGAACCCTTCTGCAACCTAAGCTGACACAAATGTGGACATGTCTGCTGCTCGCGGCTCCGACCCTGTTGCACTTACAGAATCGATATGCATCCAGCGGCCTTGGGACGTGCGTCTCACCTTCCGTCATGTGGTTTGTCTTCGAGTGGTGGACGGCGTGAGATCGCTGCCAGGAGAAGTACGGCACCTCGGTCAAGAGAGCAGAGAGAGAGACCGCATGCGCTGCCAGCCGCTGAGCGTGCGCACCATCAAGGCCGAGTGCAAGACCTGAGATGCAAAATCCGGCTACAAGTAGGATCTCTCCGCTAGAGCCGCTGTGGACGCACGGCGGCTGAGGCCCTTCACGTATCCGACCAGAGTCTGCAACCACTGCTCGTTACAAAACGCATTGTGGCCACACTCGTGACCTCAACTGCATACTCACCGCTGACGATCGCTCACTCAGTGTGTGGATACAAGTACCTGCTGTGAGGCTGCTGCCGATGACCCAGGGTCCGGTGGCCAGCGTGCCCTGCACCACCGCGTAGAGCAGCCACACGGGGGCAAAGGCTGCGGTCCTCGCGCAGCACAATTGTCGCGCCCTAGCACGGGCACTGTTCAAGGGCCAGACATTGGGATGTACTTCCAAGCGAGATAGCCGCAAAATAGCACCTGCATCACAGGACATGACTTGGCAGCTCTCTTCGTGTTGGCTCAATCCCGAACCATGGAGAAGCTACAGCTGTAGCCTGCAAAGTTGAAACCGCGGCATGTGCCAACGACCGTCCAGTCCTTAGGGGTCGTCGTCTCGCTGGTGTTTAAGGCACCTTGAAGTCTGAGGTCCTTACTCTTTGACCATGCAATCCTTGGGGATGGCCCTCAGCACCTCCCCCTTGCTTGGCCACTGCCTCCAGCCAACTCGATTCCACACTGCAAGACTTTTGTAGGCAAACTGTACCATGCTATGGCAGTACATCACTACAGATTTGGCAATGACGGGCTGGGCGTGACCGTAAGCTTCGAACTTGTTCTGTCGCAGCGCCGTTCCCTGGAGCCCGCCCCGCTCAAGGGCTTTCCTTGCAGACCGAGAGCGACTGACTTGTCGTTAGCAGCTAGATCCATTTAATTTCTTCCTCTACAGCGGTACGTGTATGTGCTCAGGTCAATTTGACTCCGCACGTTCAAACGTCCCCGGGCCCTGGCTCCACTCGCTCTTTCAATTCGCCGTTGTCTTCCACCTTCCAGCCTGGTGTTCCACGGCTCGAGGGAGACAAAACTGGCCAGTTTGGGAGCCCTGCCTAATCCTTCCGGGCTCAGTTCCAGGGTATTCACCTGCTTCAACTCCGCAAGGTCCGGCCCGTGCACTGCCGCACTGCCGCACTGCATGCACTGCCCTGCACCTGAGAACCTTGACGTCGTCGCACACGCCTCAAGCCCTTCCTCGCCTCAGACTCTCACCGAGTCTCTGCTGCCCTGTCTTGTCTTGACACGGCCGGGCACCCAGCCAACAGAGCTGCAGCGGAAAGGCCAAGAAGGAGTCGTCCTTGCGGTGCTTTGATTCTCACAGGTTCCAAATTGTGTCAGTTCTGCAAGACGCACATGTGGAGAATCTCACGTGGAACGGGAAGTGTAAGTGGGGAACGGCAGCGACTGCCTTTCTTTACACTGGTATGGATTTCCCAGGGCAGGAATTGCTTTCTGGGGTTGAGCTGGTCGCCCCTCGTTTGCTCTCCCCGTTGCGTAAAGCAGGGCATGCTTGCAGTTCGGAATTCCGCCGCCTCTGAAGGAAGGCTCTGGCTGGCTCGGAGGTGTCTGGCCTGTCAGAGAAAGGATGTACCGTGCAAGGGAGGGCGGTCAGATGAGAGACGTACACTAAAGCACGCTCATCGCGACATCCGTCATTGACGCCGGACTTGCCTGAAAAGGACTGGCTGGGTACCTTGGGCCGCTCCAGGCGAGTTGCAGGTCTCAAGCCTCGAAGAAACGACGGGCACGATCAACATGTTCACATAGTGCTTGCGAAACGACGGAAGCATCGGCTCATCGCGGCTCCAAATGTGGTGAATGTGGAGATGTCGTAAGTTTGCGGCTCCTGGAGGCAGTGCCTTGCTGCCTCGAGCAGACGCGAGAACCGAACATGATCATGGATAGCAGCATAGCATGCATGCACATGCATGCGCAGCGTGAGCGTGATGTCGTGGCGAACACTTTCTGAGCTGAGTTGGGAACTGTTGGGCAGCCCCTGCCACGAAGGCCAGATCCATCCTTGTTTCTGCAGTGGCTCAGAGCCCACCAACGCCGCGACGACACGCAGCATGCTGTCCAAGCTCGCCACCTGACTCCCTTGGACGAGAGCTGTCACAGAAAAGGCGGCACCAGCGGGGCTTTGCCGAAAGCCCTTGATGTGTAAATACTTCGCACCGAACATGGGCAGCAGAAGGGTTGTTTGTTGCTTTGAGCGAGTCACGGCCTGCGCCTTCTGCGCGTACATTGGCCTTCGGTCCACTGGAGCGCGAGTGCAGCTGTGCAATTCCCCTCTTTTGATGCTTCTCGGGACGATGGCGGGGTCGCCGTCAACACCACCGGTTCACTGAGCGGCCATGTCAACAGGTTGGCAAGTAGCACTCTTGATACCGTAGCATTGTGTCCAACTTTGCGTGCATGTTGAGGTCGCTGCTCAGCTGGCATGGCTCAACAGGAACAGAGTGGGTGATACAATGACTTTCTGAAACAACACGAGGAAGTCACAACATCACGTCGAAAGTTCTGCTCAGTTTAGAACAGAAGGCGCGACCCCTTCTTTTCGGGGACACGCTGCGAGGCGATGTCGGGTCGTTAGCGGCTCGCCGTGCTCCTGGGTCTTTGGGGGCATCGACGAGTCAGATGAGTAAAGCGACCGAGGCGGCCCCAGATCTCCTGACGACAAAAGACCCGTCTGCCACGTTTCAGCGCGTGTGCCACAGTATTCCAATGTTTGCCAGTGTCCGACAGTGTCCTGTCTGTCATATTCGGCAGCTCTATCCAGGTGCCAAGGGCGGGATCAAAGCGCTCTGCCGTCTCAAGGCACTGCGGGCAGGACAGCGAAGCAGACACTTGCCGTCTTGGCTGCATAGGCTGGCAGCATGATATCCATGCTTGTAAAGATGCAAGCGCTGCCAATGCTTGCAAGATTAGCATGGCTCTCCTCTCCCCTCGCCTTTCTTTCGAACATGAACGAACAGAGGGCCCCCCCCCACGGTGCGCGCCCCAGCCACTAATTTAGGCAGATGAGCTCGGCAGAGCCTGTATGCAGGAAACAGGTTCTTTCTTTCTGCCGGGCGCAGTGGTCGCGAACGACCCGGAGGCACTAGGCCCGCCCAGGTAACAGTCTCTCTCTGTCTTCCCCGCTCTCTCCCTCGCTGCACCTGCCCACCGTCGCTGCCACCAAAAACGTGTATTCGACCAGCAATACCAGCGGCCGCGACGTAGGCGCGACCTGGTCGGTTTGCAATCATGGCCAGCCTTGCAAAACTTTAGTCAACTCCGGAGTACTCAGCCAAGAACGTTTCAACATCGGTGCCAGTGTTTCCCAGGTGCCAACCTGCAGGTGTCATCACAGTCACAAGTCTTGGTGCAAATTTTCGCGGCGATATTCCTTGGGATCGTAGCGCTCCACCGAGTTGAGCATCTGGGCCTTGGGGGCAGCACGCACGTCGCATCGTTCCAGTTCTGCGGACTTTCCACCATTACCAAAAGCAAAGTTTCCTGCACCAAATGCTCCTCCACATACGTAGAGCCTCCGCAAAAACATCCGCAGGCAGCAGTTGTACCATTCGTCTTGAATCGTTGGAATGCTTGCCTGCCACCGCAGGCTGCAGCTGACGCACCTAGTTGTCAAGTGACGCGGTTGAACCTAAGATAACCTAAGCATTTTTATGCATGTTTGTCCGAACATGTCCTACCCGTGCGAGCACCCAGGGTGATTACGTAGACCACGGAAAGTTCCATTTTTTGGTTCGCACGTTCGTTTCATTGTCCTTAGCGCATGCCTTGAAGTAAGCCACTTCTTTAGCGGCTTGCAGGAGATCCGGAGGAGACCGTCGAAAGTCATCGGTATTGCATAAGCTGGCCTGCTACACAGCTTGAGGAAAAGCTCTGCAGGTCGCTGAGAATTTGATTCGTTGAACTCAGTTTGGGGTGATCCAGAATCACCCGGAGTTGATCTCACCTCTCTCTTTGACGCATAAAAAACAAGCAAGAGTATGAAGCGTGCAGTTTCATAGCTTGCTGGTACGGACGGCGAGAGAAAGCTATGGCAGTTGGCACTCTCGTTTCGTCTGGCGTTCTCTCTGAGTCACTCAAAAACCGCTGGAGTCGCCTCAGAGAGAATTCGACACGCAAAATCGACATGCCGTCCAAGCGGTGATTGATATCAGAATGTGCCAGCGGAAGGACAGGACATGTCAGTCTTCAGGCATGAATTTGCGACCTCATGGAAACCTCTCAGCACTCCGAGCGCCTGCTCGCTGACTAGACAGTGGTGGAAGCCTCGACATGCGAATTGAATGACGATCGCGCATGCCATGCAAAGAGCTATGCAGAGCTTCTTGCGGAAGCCAAATGCTCGGTGGATGATTCAGTCTCTCCACGCCTCACAGACACGCTGAGCGGTCACTGGCCTCTGGCAGCCGGCACGGTTGGTCTGAAGCTCCGGCTGCTCAGCGGCTCCCTCTGTTCATCTCGGCCACCGCAGACATAGAGTAGGCCTGCACTGTGTGTCGCAACTCTCATGAGCCTCCGAAGCTGAGCCCCTGCTGCGCTTCCGCCTTGCAGTGACACAGCTGCAGGCCACCCACGTCTCTCTGCCATTGAAGAGACGCTCTGCGCAGGGGCCGTGCCCAGTGATGAATTCTTGAGAGCTTTGCGAAGGCGCTGTGAGGCTTCAAACTTCGGTTGCTATCAGGTTCTCCTGACTCTTGCAAGTTTGGCATCTGCTCATGTTCCTCAGAAGCAGAAACGAGCAGGCCTTTCTTTGGAAGCCGAAGATCCTACGGAGGATTCCGCGAGTCTGTGCGGGCCCCAGCACGTCGTCCAGGTTTCATGAACGATCGTTCATGACCAAGCCGGTGAAGGACGAGCTAGACAGCTAGACCTATAGACCCTCGCGATGCTGCCCCCACACGCCTGCCAGCTGCCAGTTGACGTCTGTTGCGCCTGCAGGCCAGGAAACAGACTCATCGCACAGTGGTCTCGGTGCAGGGCTCGCACCCGTGGAGTGACGTGCAGGAGCTGCATCGGAACTCCTTCGTGCGATGTCTTCGAGGTTACCCGTCTAAGCCGGCTGAACGAGAACCTCGATCCTACAATGGCACAATGGCCCTGTGCACGCATGACCTGGCGGAGTGAAGCACTCCACCGAGTTTAAAGGCTGCCTCGCAAGGTGGGTTTGTGCGGTTGTTGAACACCACTAAGCATGCACCAACCCTGCAGGACTGCATGGTACCGCTTGGCCTGTTCTCATCCAGGCCACCACATATGAAGAGTCGTTTGTTGATCACACCTGATTGCCAATTGAAGCATTGGAAGAACGCTCGCAATCCGATGAGTAGGACAGGAGACCCGCGACTCTTGTTTCCACTGTTCCGCTGCTTCAGGTCTTCCCTCCGCCAGCATCTTCGACAAAGGGGTTGTCAGAGAGGAGCGTGGGTGCAGATGCCATGGTGTACATGCGCTGCAAAAGCTCGTCAACTTGGTTCCTCCGGCTTCGCTCTTGGATGTGGCGAAGTGCTCGCGATCTCTCCAGCTTGTTAACAATTTCGTTCACTTTGGCCACCAGTACCCTGTCGCGCAACATCCGTTCAGACAAGGTCTGCTGGAGCTGGTCTTCAGCTCTAGCTCGCCTGTCCGCACAGTCGTGCGCATGTTTGATCAGCTTGGATGCCTCGGCACTTTTCGCTTCGACGGCAGATTTTCTGCCGATGTTTTGCACAGAAGCATCATGCAAGTATGCCTCCAAGCGCGCAAAGTCCTGTCTGCACGTCATCTCTTGCAAAGAAGCCGTTTGTGCGAGCTCTTCAACTTGCTTGGAACATCGCATTCGGCCTTTGCTTTGTTGCACTGAGGAAAAACACGGCAACTTACGAATACTCTACTACTCTTAGAAAGGCTGAAGAAGCCTCTTAAGCTGGTAAAGTAAAACAGAGGTACTGAATCTGCCGATGCTACTAGCTTGCACCTCCATAGATGCACTCCTCAATTGATACAGAGAGGCGCGAATCGAAGAGAGCTCTTTTTGCAAGGACTGCTGTTCTTCAAGACTTCTTGAGACGGCCATGGCAGCCGCTTGGGACCTCAGCTGCTGGTCTGCGGCCGTCTGCTGAGCCAACGCCGAGGACCTCTTCAGGAGCTCCCGCTCACCAAGGAGGTTGGCCTCAGTCAAGCACAAGTCACAAGTGGCTTTGACTAATCTCTCCGCAAGAGACACCCCGAAGCAAGGAAGGACGGAGGACCTGAGCATCCAAAATGGCATACGCCCGCGACTGGGACTGTTGAATCTGTTCCTGATGGCACGCCATGGCAAAGCTGCTCAAGGGTGTCAGAATTCTTCGAGGGGGCAGCTTCTGTATGGTGGCGCACCAATGGCAATCATTACTAATCATGGATTGCCCAAGTTTGCTGAACCGCCGATTTCGTCTGCTACTGCTGAATGAGCCAGCAGGGGTAACCCAGCAGCAAAAGGTAATTTAAGTTGACGTTGGTTTCCTTTCCAGTCTTTGCGGCCTGCTCCAGCTCCCCACCTGGCCAGGGTTGACGTTGACTTCTTTGGAGTACTGACTGCTGCTGTCTTCCATGCGGAGTGACCCCAAGCCAGCAACAGCTCCAAGTCAAAAGCTCGGACAAACGATGCAACAAACCCATAGCCCATAGCTGCTGCAGACAGAGGAACGAGTTGGTGAACGAGTTAGGAGTCTGCAGCTCATCATGCCAACGAGACGCAGATCTAAAGCTGCTCTTCGCTGCAGCCGTCGGTTATCTCTGAAATGTTTCAGGACACGAACTCAAGTTCGGGATCACGAAATCGGCAGAGGGCGCCTGGCTACCAGCATCGGCGGCATGGGCGACCACCTGTCACTTTGAGATGCGTGGTCGATCCGACCAGCTCATGCAAACATTCTAGGGCGAACGAATGCGACCCATCTGCCTCGAGTAATCTGGGTCAAAGCACTCCACACTTCGGACAGGTTGGGGTCCAGCCCAACCTAAGGCAGTGTGCTTTCTGGTGTGTTGGCTTCTGGCCACAGTGCAGAATCCCCATCATGGCATCTCTTGGCCTGGGAGCTGAGGATCCTGCCGCCACAGACATATATCTTGCCGGCCATTACTCCTCCGCGGCATGCTGAGACCATGAAAAATGACCGCCTTGACGGTTTCATGCGGTGTCATGCTCCTGCACAGGTGTACTGCCGAGCCTCTGTCATGGGCGGGAGCACCTGTCAGAAAACCCAACGTCTCAGCCCTTCAAGGCTTGGGCCCACATCGCAGAAATCTCAAAGCCAAGTGCTTCCAGAAGCTCCAAGCCTCCCAGACGCCAGCCTCAGGAGAGAGACATGCTGCGTGCATCTTGAACCCACAGACGGCACCTTCGCCCTAAGCAACGCAGGTTGGCGACAGCCAACCGACCCTCTCGGACGGGTTGTAACCTCCGTTTGTTAACTTTCTTGTTTCACACTGTCTTGTGACTTTCCAGTGGAGAGAACTGAGAGACTGTAAGAGACGATCATACATGCTGCTGTGCAGCTTTCAAGAGATGCTTTTGAAGCGAATGCTCAGGGCTTGGCAGGCTTGAGAGACAGACCCGGGCACGTGGCGCAAGGTAGTTTACCTTTATTGGCTCACCAGTGTTTTGACTTCTGCCTTGTTTTGGGGCAGCAGATTCAACACACTTATTGGGTGCAAGGTATTCAAAAAAAGTTCAGAATTTGGGGATGTTTCGGGGAGCATTTCACATGTCGAGGAACACATTTTTTCTGCAATCGGGGAAAGTTCTCTCGTGACGTAGAGCTCGCGATTTTTTCTCCATAGGGGTGGGCCCCTCTGCGATAGGGCTCGCGAAGGTTTTTCGCTCCATGGGGATGCCCCCCCGGCGGTAGTGTTGCCCCCCCACCCCGCCGCGGTAGCGCTCGCGATTTTTTTCTCCATTGCAACGTGATATAAGGCCAACAGTTCGTGAAATCATGCGACAGTTTTTTGGTCGGAGGACGGGGGACCCTTTTCAAAACCTGGTCGGCTCGCTGGTGCTTTGTGCGAAAGAAGTCTGTAGGCTTGCTTTTTCAAGAGAGAAAGCACAACTGTTGTTTCATGGTTATTCAATAAAATACCTGTGTTTCACTCTCTCTGTTTTTTGATTGATTTTTGTTTTTGCCGATGGTAGTAAAACTTGGTTGATTTTCGTAAACCTGCTTGATTTGCGGTTGCTGCTTGGTGAAACCTGTTTGATTAAAACCAACAGCCGGTTTTCTAGAAATCCATTGTGTTTTGGCAAAACTATTTGAGGATGCCTGTTTCTTCGTTTTTGCCAGGTTGATGTAGATTGTTTATCACGTTGCTACGTTGGGTGTTTGTTTATGAATTCTCGTAAAGATTTTGGAAGCAACAGGCAACTTTGGGGAAGCATCTGAGAATCAGAGCCGCCGAGCCATCTGAGCAGTCTCGCATGACGGCACGGGTGGACGGTGGCATGTCCAGGCAGCCGGGAAATCGATAGACACCAGCTTATCTCTTCTTAACTCTTTTTCTTCGCGAGGGTAGAAGCAAGGGGAGCCACCCCTTGCTCCGGCGCTTCTTCACTCTCTCTCCCTCTCTCTCTCTCTCTTTCTTTCTGGGCTTAGGGGTCACGTTGTGACCCGCAGGCTCTTGGCCCGCCCGACCGCTTTTGGTGTTATCAAGCGGTCGGCTTTGTTTTCCCTATAACTATGGCAACGTCGGCACGGTTTGCTCTCTCTCTCTCTCTCTTGCTTTCTCTCTCTCTTTCTATCCCTCTCTCTCTCTCTCTCTCTCTTCAGCTCGGCCAGGAGGGTCGGACGCACGAGCACCCTCCCCCCCGCGCGATTGCGCGCACCGGGGAGTTTCGGGCGGTGAGAAAAGATAAAAACTCCACGGGATGAGTCACTGGCCGACCTTTACAAACTTTTCTTAACACTAACCCACAACCTGCCTCGAGGGCTAAAATTCTCTCTCTCTCTCTCTCTCTCTCTCTCTCTCCTGGGCATGAGGGCGCGGTCAACGCCCTCGGGCATCATGCCCCCCCATCGTTTTGATGGGATCGAGGGGTGACGAATGAACGATGGACACAATCTCGGCTACAGCCATATAAGTTTACGATAACGGTGATTTGTGTCCCGTCGTTCGCATTTCGACACATGCAATATCATTCCCCCTTCCCCGGATCTAGTAGGGCTAAAATTCTCTCTCTCTCTCTCTCTCTCTCTCTTTCTCTCTCTCTCTCTCTCTCCCTCTCTCTCTCTCTCTCTCTCTCTCTCTCTCTCTCTATCCCTCTCTCTCTCTTGCTTGCACTCGGACAAGAGGGAGCGCGGTCTGTGGTGTGATACTTTTAGCCGGTTGAAGGCGACGTTCTTCAAACCGTGATACCCCCCCTTAACTCTAAGACTCTACGTGCTAATTCCCCCAACGCGCCTCATCTGTACTCCGGCTCATGCGAGATCTCAACTCTTTGCTGAGCTCCCGACTTCCCATTCGGGAAAAAGTGGGGATGTTCCTCCGTGGCTCCGGCTTGACAGGAGACTGCACACTGTGTGTTGCACGTCTACACCCCACGTCCCCTCTGGGGAAAGAAGGAGGGCGGAGAAACTGACCTGTACTGCTGCTACGCTGCTCAGGGTGCCGGCACTAGTTCCCCGTCACACAGCAAAAAACGCACACCACACTTGCAAAGGTAACATGCATCAACAACTGACGCCTTTCCCCCGGGGCCCTCACTGGTCGTGCTTTCACTTAGCGCTCAGGCTTCCGTGGCTTTCTCTGCAGTGGCGGTCTGTCCAGTTTCCCCCCGGCTGGGTGAGTTCTGAACGTCGAAGTCGGAGGCGGTGGACTCCTTCCCCCTTGTTTTGCTTGGTCTTCTCCACGTGCGAGCTTCAAGACTTGCTGCGAGAGTGTGGGAGCCGAAGGTGGTTCCCCCGCTGCCCTGGACTGGCTTGCCGTTGACTGGCTTTTGTCTTTTCGCGGGAACTTCACCTTCAACTCTCTCGCCTGGTGTGAGGTACTGTCGCTGGCTATCCTCACCACCTTTGGTTGTCTCCCCTCCGCCCACTGCTTGCCCGCCGTGTACGCAGCGAGGTTTGCACTGTCGTAGTCAAACGCCTCAGTCTCGACAGCCACCTCCCCCGCCTCTTCGTCAAGGTCTCGGAGCACCCTCTGGAGAAAGTCTGCGTCATTGAGCAGCGGTGTGGTTGTATCGGCGTTGTCTTCCCCCGCTTAGTTGTTGCCCTCTGCACCGGCATGTGCCATGCTGTCCGAAGCTCGTTCTCTGTGAGGTCACCGAAGGCGGCGTCGACGGCGTCGTCCTCAGGCCTTCTCGTCCCCCCGGTCTGTATTTCGTCGTAGTCTGTTGCTAGTAGTTTTGGCGTTCGAGGAACTGCAGTGTTGCCTCTCCAGGCTCCCCCGACTGGTGTGCGTCTGCGCCTGCGTGTCATGCCGAAATTTTCCTCGTCGGTTGTTGCTCCGTCCATGCTTTGGCTGTGTCCCCCTCCTTCCTCGCTGCAGACTGTTGGTGTTGCGGTGGTGGTGGTGGTGGTGGTGGTGGTGGTGGTGGTGGTGGTGGTGGTGGTGGTGGTGGTGGTGGTGGTGGTGGTGGTGGTGGTGGTGGTGGTGGTGGTGGTGGTGGTGGTGGTGGTGGTTGTGGTTGTACTGCTGTGGCGTGTTGGTGTCACGTGGAGCTGGCGGTGCTGCCACAGTTCTGTATTGTCTGTGTCCCCTTTTATGGGGGTTCTGCCCAGTTGCCTGCCGTCTCTTGCCAGCTCGTAGAAGTGTGGTTGCGGTGGTTGCGGTGGTCGTTGTATTGGGGCTTGCCGTGCTTGTTGTTGTGGTGGTTCCTGGCCTCTCAAGGGCCTCTTGTCCATGAAGTTGGCGTTGTGCTGTGGTGGTGGGTGCTTGGCAGCTGCTTGGCTGTCTTGCGCGGGCCGTGCTTGGCTGGAGTTGGGTCGCTGTGGTGGCTGCTTGGCCTGTGGTGGGCCTCTGTTGGCTGCGGTGGAGCTGCTGGCTGCCCCTCTTTGAGGTTGTTGCGTGTCTGTTGCTGTTGCGGCCGGGCGGCTGGAGCTTTGAGGTTGCTGTGGCGCCTGTTCGTCAGAAGGCCTGCTGTTGGTCTGGGACGGTCTCCCCATTGGTGCTGTTTCCAACCGTACTCCTTTGCCTGCGGGAGGTAACTACTGGTGCTTCCGGCGAGGCGGTCCATGCCGGGTCCCCACCGAGGGTCTGATCATCCGACGCCGTCAATCTCTTCGAGAAAGTACGCTTGACCGACTGTGGTTGCAAGTGTCCCCCTGTCGATGCTCTGGCGGCAAGGAGATCACCGTGAGCATGTAGACCAACCCTACGGTGGTCTCGATCTCGACTCTCGACTATGCATCCGTCTGGCAGCGCGGGACAGGTCCACAGCTCCTGTCCTGTTGGCAACATCCCCCGCTGCGGCCTCTCTCTGGTGCTGGGCGCACTTTGTGCACCAGGGATTGACTCCACTCTGGCTACCCACTTGCCTTTCCCCGCCGCCACGTAGAGTACCTCCGTTCTGCCGGTGTGCGGTAGCGGCGGAGGCCCCCGCCGTTTGATGTGGCTTTCGCGGTTGGCCTGTTCGTCCAGTTCCTGGAAGTGGGCCTGTGGTTCCCCCAGCAAAGTGGCGTCGCGCTCTTCTCCCTCCGCGGCTTCGGCCTGTGGTTCCTCTGTCGTATCCCCCCTTTCTGGGTGTAGGTAGCGGTTGTTGCGCAGTCTGGCTTTGTGGTCGGCTGCTGCTTGCGTGCTCCTCTTGTCGCCCCCCTCTTGTGCAGTGGTTGCAGTGGGTTGGTGTTGTGGGGTTTGGCTGCTTCGTTCTGGGTGGTGTTTGCTTGTTGCGGTCGCTTGCTTGCTCCTGGCCCAGTCGCCATAGTAGCTGTAGGCTGGTGGCTGGAGTGTCGGTGGTCTCCTCCGGGGCCTCCCCCGTTTGCTGCACTTCTGCGGCGGCGGTGGCTGCTGAGGCTGATCTCTCTTCTGCTTCTGCTGGGGCCTCCTCCGTTGGCTGGTGTTCTGCACTTGCCGTTGGGGCTGTGTTTCCCCCTGGTGTGTAGCTGTTGGTGGTGGGTGTTGCTGGCGTGGGCCATGGCAACAGGTGTCTGTTCAGCAGCGCTGCCCAGTCTGTACTTTGTGTGGTAGCTGTTCGTGCTTGCTGCGGCGGTGGCTGCTGTGGCTGGGGTGGTTGGCCCCCGGTTGCGGC